CAAATAAGTATAATAAAAAGTAAGTAAGTAGACCAATGATATATCATTGAAGTAGACATATAGTTATTTTTGATATTTTTACAAACTACTATTATTTTAAAATATAATATACCAACTAGAGGGGGTGCGACAATATATAAAATCCTAATTGTTTCATCCTATCATTCTGTATTTTATAGTTCCAAAATGTTTCATTTCTAATATGGCATTCTTGTCGTGTAAATAACTCAAGACTTCAATATATTTGCACAATTATTTCTTACAAAGATTTTTAGTGTTTTTATTTTATCAATTTATCCAATATGATAAATTCTGATACTAGTTTACATCGTGAGTGTCATGGCTATTACTGCAAATTAACCAGCATCTATTATTTGTGTTTCTATGTAATTTAAGATTATTACTACAACGGCTGAGAGCATATGATTGCATATTTTAGATAATTAATAATGGTCAACTGTGTAGTCGTTTATATATTATATATCATTTAAAATGGATGATAATCTTTTAGAAATTTAATATCTCACAATAATTTTCTCGATTACTTACAGGGTTGCCAGGTCAAAATTTTCAAATTGCGGAAGAAATTTGGTATTATGCGGGAGAAATATAAAAATTATGGTAGAAATATAAAATTGTTTAAAAAAAAATTTAGCGGGCAGAAGGCCCGCGTGCCGGACTTCTGCTGGAATTTTGAATTGACTTTTATCCGCCTGTTATTTTTTATTTAGTTTATAAAAATACAAAGTCGGTAACTATTTTCTAAAATGAAATCTTGATTTATTATAATATATTAATTTATAAAAAAAACCAACGATCTTTTTTAAATATAAAAGAATGTAAACAAGATAAAATTTTATTAAAAAAAACGATTTTAATTTTACAATTAAAAATATATTTTATGCGAATGTTCCGCAAAACGACCGCAATTGGAAATCTACCGTGTGAGTATAACATTATAGGGATAGTCGCTTAATTATCACGTATCACGTTTAAATACATAATAGTACTCCAAAAATAAGAAATAATAGAGATGATACTACAGTTGCGGCAATTGTAATCACTTATCTTGTAGTACAACATTCACAGAGATACTTATCATCACAATGTTGGTAGAATCTTTTCCCCATAATATTTAACGACTCTAATATAAATGAAAACTATACTTGTAGAACAAAAATGAGCAAGGCTATCATCAATGTTTTAGTACCTAAATCCAGGAGGTCAATTCTTGACGATTTGAAAAATGGGCATACATATGCAATTTTAAAAGGTGCATCTAATAAGATCAGCTATTTCAACAAAATTAAGGTCGCTTCAAATAAACTAATAAATTTTTTCTCCTCAAATATTGAAAAATCTAAAGACATAGCTAACCATATAATGGTAAATATAGCAGATTCGAGATTATCAATAAATTGCATATCAGCTTTCTGATCAATGCCTCAGTGAATTTGGTAAAAACAGAGTGTATTTACAGAATTGAGTCAGCACAATGTTGGTTGCGATATGTTCCTAATACCCGCTATCGATAGAATTTTAAAATTTTATAAACCTTTAAAAAAATATTTTATAATTAAAGATTATAAAAGCTGTCCTAATATTTTTTTCAATAATGAATAGCAGAGGTATATTTAGGATTGATTTCACATGTAGGAAATCTACTACATGCTGCTAATGTGTAGTTGCAATCAGAAGAATCTTAACAAAGATTCACAAAATTATGCTGCAGATGTGTTCATCTTTACAGTTAAAAATTGACAATAAATTTTATGGCGCCATAACTTAATTATATTTTATTTGAGATAAATAATAGAACTAAATGTTTACCGTCGTTATTGAGATTTTTATAAAATTCCTGGAATGACATATTATATATTTGTGTAACCATTAGCTCGGCCTCTAATGTTGTTAAAGCAATCCGATTACCCTCCTTTTTCCCGCAGTCCTTATCAGGATAAAAATGCTCTCGGATGAGGCATTAGAATGAGGTAAGGAGACGACATATTCGCATATTTTTTCCAAGCATGGGGATTTATCGCTATTACGAAAAAATTCTACCCATTCTCCTCTGCTATTAGACCATCTAACTTTGAGTATTTTGGCGAATCATAAAAAATAGAGAGAATTACAATCTCCTCAAACAAGAAATCAATGTCTTTCGGTATATTTAATATATTTATTAAATTATAAAAACCATCAATTGATGGTTTCTGTTCCAAGGTCATATTATTTATACATTTGTAAATAGAGTTATTAAAATCAAATTTTGATTGTAAATATTCTAAAATTGTCTTAATAAAAATATCTGCTTAATTAGAGTATTATTTGAACATCTTAATATAATATTTTTAGCAATAGCGCCATTTATTATCAATTTTTAACTGTAGAGATGAACAGAGCTGTAGCATGATTTTCTGAATATTTTTTATAAAGAATATTCTGATTGCAACTGAATATTAACTTCATGAAGTAGATTTACTACATGTGAAATGAATCCAAAATATGCTTCTGCCATTTCGTACTCTAAATAATTTTTCAAAATTTTAGTACAGCTTTTAAAATATTTATTTAAGAAGTATTTTTTTAAGGGTTTGTAAAATTTTAAAATTCTATCGATGGCAGGTATTAATGACAACCACCTAATAGGTATATATCGCAATCGCAACTACTCACACCATTCCAAGTCAGACCACTTCACCAACTTTTTTAATTCATTAAATCTTTTAGTTAATGAATAAATTCGTTAAAATATTTAATCACAATTATTTTGACATCCACAGATAGTATATTTAGTGCCTTCTTGCAAGAATTATGTTATATGGCATATACAGCCAATTTAATTCATTATTGTGCTGCCTCAATTTGGTAACTTTGGTTTTTGCCAAAATTTACAGAGGCATTATCAGCGCAGAAAGCTGACATGAAAATCATTGATAATCCTGAATCAACTATATTTACCAAGCTACATCGTTGAATTTTTCACTATCCGAGAAAAAATTTTTAACAGTTTTATTGAAATGTTCTTATTCTTGTTGAAATAACGATGGATCGAGGGAAATGTTTTAATACTTCCCTTATTATTCTGTTAGAATTGCATATGGATGCCCATCTTTCAAATCGTCTAGAATTGACCTCTAGGATTCAGCTACTAAAACACTTGTGCCTTGCTCATTTGTTCTGCCACAAGTTAGGTTTGCACTTATATTGGAGTCGTTAAATATCATGAGAAAAAAATTCGACCCACATTGTGATGATATAGCTCTGTGAATGTTGAACTACATGATAGATATATACAATTTCCGCAAATGTTGTTGCATCTCTATTATTTATTATTTTTGAGAATATTTTTGTATTGCAATCGATGTAGATATACTCCCCTGTACTGACCTATATGAATGTAAGATTTATTATTGGATAAAAATAAAACAGGATAGAAAGAAATTTACAAACTAGACATGTTTTTCGAATAAATATTTAAAATTATTTTAAAAATATAAAAATAATCAATTAATGTCTCTCAAAATTATTATTTATATATTAAAAATGTTAAAATACTAAAAAAAAATTGCGGGAGAAATTAAAAAATTGCGGTAGATTTTTGCGGTAGATTTCCAATTGCGGTAGTTTTGCGGGAGAGAGATGTCTGCATGTAAACTAAAAAATTGCGGGAGTCTCCCGCTGATGGGGGGAGACATGGTAACTCTGATTACTTATATAGCTACCATCATGTCATTTAAAAGGAAGCTCTAACCACTTAATAGTTATTTGATTTGGATTGGTCGTTTATACTCTCTTCTTTAAGAATTGTTGATTTGGTTTAGGCCTATAAATTTTTCCTTATTAATCCATTCTATAAATGTGTAAAATGGTAACAGAGAGTTATATTAATTTGATAACCTTTTGTCAATGTAAGTTGCTAAGAATTATATTATTGAATTATGTGGTTTTTAAAAACTATTATCAATTGAGGCATATGTATGAATTAATGATTCTTTTTTATCACTTGTAATTCTTTAGAAGCAAACTTTTTTTATATCAGCAATCGAAAATATTTTATACTGTAATAAATAGATTTCGTATTAAAAATTTATTTTTAGAAATGTTTTGTATTGTTTTAATTATTTATATGCCAGTTTATTTTGTATGCATAATATAATAAATGAGAAAATTAAAATTCAGAATAATTGTTCAGAGTTAACAAATATAAAAAAAGTATTATATATCAATATTAAACCCGGCCGAAGGCCCGCAAACTGGGGGGCATGGGGGGTGAAGCCCCATATATATTTTTTTTAGTTGAGCCATATGAGATTGTAAAGGCTGGCGACGCCCCTGTACTATAGTATATTGTTTGGTACGAATATGAGTTTACTGATAGAATTTTTAACCCTTTTAAATGATATTTATCAGGATTTTATTTATAAAATAATGTCTATGATTGTGTGCCATATATAGATTATGTTAATGTCTAGCAATATCGTTAAGTATTAATTTTTATAGTTATACATTTTGATATTTAATTTAAAAATTTAATACGTAACCCCCTGTTAAATAATCGTACCCCTAGCTAACCACCCTTAAATCCTACCCTCTACTGCCTCAAAAATATGGGTTCAAAATTTTCCTACCCCTCCCGCTCATGTAGCTGTGCATGATCCATAGTGTTGTCCAATAGGAGTCCGACGTTTAAGAGTTAAGATTAAGTTAGCAGTGGAATTGGAAGTCTTGATGATAAAAAAATGATACATATGAAAATTTTGAATTAGATTTACAATTTAACACTTTTGAGAAATTATTAATATTTTAGCGAGGGGGCTCAGTACCTCTTCAAAATTTGTAAAGGAAGCTAAAATGCAAAATGGGGGTGGTATCTCCATCTCCGACACACATCCTTGCTAATGGTCTATATAATAGTGAATAGTTCATATACATAAAAACAAGTGTCAGAACTGACAGCTTTGGTTGAAGGCTAGACAGAATATTCATGAGCCTTTTTTATATAAGATTGCAAATATTCTCAAACATATGACTGAATATAAAATTGGAGATAAAATACAAATAATAGGAAAAGAATGTAGAGGTACTATTGCTTATATTGGAATAACTAGTTTTGCTACTGGAAAATGGGTTTAATTAAACTTTAATCTAAATTTATATCTGGCTTAGATTGGAGTTATATTAGATGACGCTCTGGGTAAAAATAATGGATCTGTTAATGGGAAAAAATATTTTGATTGTGATGAAAATTTTGGACTTTTTGTTAAACCACAACAAGTTTTTAAATAAATATATTACATATTTGAGTTCGATTTTAATCTATCATGCAATATATTTAATATAATTTTGCCATAAGCATTCAAATTATCTCATATTAATTAAGGTCATAGTTATTGTTTTATTTGTTGATAGGCTATGCCACACCATGTAAGATGTTGTTAGTTGGTATACATCTTATATAGTGTTACTAATATTGCACCAAATTATAAATTAGATTCAAGTTTAACTTTTTTGTTTTACTTTATAATTTACTGGCTCTCAATTATTTTAAGTTTGATTTGAGCTGAAAAATATAATTCTATGCATTATTTTTAATCTTAATAAGTAAAATTTAATTCCAAAATGAATATAGAAACTGTAAGCAATTAATTTTTTAACAGCAATTCAAAGAAAATGTAATTTTGGGCTGATTTTATTATATAAAATTTTTTTAAATAATAAATTGCAGAGATACTTGATACACATTACATTGGTCAGTGTTGACTAAAATTTAATCAACACCAGTGTCCAATACTCAAAAATGATAATTAACTTTAAAAAAATTTTTTTAGTTAACATTGAAGGTCTTAATTTTTTTAAAAATTTTATGAGTTTAATATTTAAGATAAATAAATGTAAAATGATAATATTGATGATATCTTGTTTTTTTTCCTATAAATGCACTTAACTATGATTTTTGGTATCAGTTTATGGCAGTGGTGAATTTAGAGAACTCCCAAAATTTTCCCCAAATTATAAATTAGATTATATTAATAAAATATTATGTATATTATCATCTCCCCCTCCCCCAACAAAATCCTAGATATATCACTGGGTTTGGGTATTAGCTAGAAGGGTGCTATCAATGCATCTCTGATAAATTGCAATTGTGTCAGCCAATGGCATGGGTAAAATATGAATATTTTTGAATAAACATAGATTACTCCCAGATCAATATATTCATGACAAGAAATTATCTTTCTTATTCAGCTGTACAAATGGGTGATGTTTTCCTGCAGTTGATGATTTATTACTTCTAATTAGTGTACAAAATTATCTCCTCTTTAAATTCTTTAAATGAAGTTCATATAATTTTTGTTTGATGGGAATTTGGCAAATTTTTTTTCTCATAAATTACACATTTACTTGAGTATATTCTCCTTTAACTAGGAAGTAGGCCTACAAAAAAAAGAATTGAATAATACTATTATTCGTATTTAATTAGAATTTGAATCAAATAATTATGCTATTTGTATTTGTTCAAATCAATCATTAATAGTAATTTGATTTAAAATAATTTTTATAAAAAAATAGATTATATTTTGAAAAAAAAATTATAAACAGATGTGGATGTTTTAAAATGACCCCTTTAAAAATTCTTGTATAACTAAGCTAATTGTCATTAGCATATCAAAATTTATAGAAAATAACAAGTGAAATAAAACCCAATGATTTTATAACCTTTATCCAAACATTAATAATATTAAATTTAAAAAAATTAATTAAATTATCATATATACAACACTTAAATGTTTTACTCTGAAGATAAAAAGAAAAAATAAAATCTACTAGGAAATTTTAATAATTACTTATGAATACTAACAAAAAAAAAATATTATCTAAAAATTATGAATGTAAACCAATATTTACAAATAATTTTGAATATTTTTGAATATGATTAATTTCTAATAACATGAATAGTTTTTAAATAATACAAATAATTTCGAATAATTCGTATCAAATAATAAAAATTTACTATTCGATAAATATTTTTTTTGATTATTCATTTCTGGTTATTCAGAATAATTATGCTATTCATTCGTATTTGTAAAATAGGAATCAAGTCTAATCTAATTATGAATAATTCTTTTTAGGCCTACTAGGAAGAGCAAGCCATGCAAATATAATTCGCTTATCAAATTTATGTCATTGATGATAATGATCCTAGAAATATACCATTTTTTCTAAATCATTTAAATACAAATGAATAGCTTATTAATATGAATTGAAACATACATTATGTACATTAAAGTTGACCTCCATCGATGAGAATTATAAGAATCTAGATTCGTTAATCAAGCAATGAGTCTTCCTTTCATCATACTTGCATGACATTCCCTCTGTACATTAAATCATTAGAGTAGAATGCAATATGAGGTTTATATACCTATACCCATATACTTTATAGGGACCAATTTTGAAAAGCTCTTCAGAATTTCATTTTTTAAAAGTATTTTTTGACTATTTACCAACCATATATAAAATTTAGTTTTTTGTATCCTTTTATATAGTTTTAAAAAATATTTTGATCTCCTGATGTCAAAAAATATGATGATTTCATTCATCCCCAAGGGTTGGCATTATTAAATCAATTATTCTTTTGAATAAAAATTTATGGTTTTTAAATCATTCCTTTTTGCTTGTATTTTAAATAATTATTAGTTTTTATTTTCAAATAGAACTTTTATTTTACCTCATTATACTATATTTGGCATGTCGGTTTTAATTATTTGCTAATTTTATTTTTATAAATGATTTGCAGGTTGCGTAAATCCTGAAATTATTTATTTTTTATAATAAACTCATATAAAATTTTTTTAATATTGTTAAAAAGGATAAATAAAAAATAGTATATTTTTTTTATCCTTTAATTAATATTAATTAAAAATTTGTTGATATCTATATTCTAGTTTATATAAAAGTATTAATTTTAAAATCATTAAATATTGTTAACTATGGAATATAAAATTATAAAGCATATCAAAATTTATTAAACTTGTTATAAATGGGCAAACCTAAAATATTGATAACACATAAAAATAAGAAAACCGATGTTTAATGTAATAAAATGCCAGTTATTAATAACTTCACCCAATAAGTTATTTTCCAAGGCCATCGTTTTATATCATTTTTATTATATTACTAGAAGATAGCCCATCAAAAATGACGGGGAATGAGAATTTTCTTATTACTTTTATGATAGTTGTTACCTCTTATTTGAAAATAATATCCATCTTTTAATCCCTCCCCCACCCCTTCATGCCAGGTTTAATCCATTAAAACTAAGTGTAAATACTATTGTTTGGTAAAATTAAATTTAAAGCTTTTACTTGATAATACCAATATTATTTGTTAAATATTACTGATCATTAATACCTAATATTTTATATTAAAAAAATTCCCAGGCTAAGTACAAAGCCATAATAATTTTGAAAAATTCTTCCAAGCCCAATGAATATAATAATTTTGGTAGTTGAGAACTGAAATAAAATATTTAAATAATCATAATGTTAAAAATACAATCAAAATCAGATTTTCATGGGCCTAGGTTTTTTGATCAGGCCGAGCCCAGGCCTGCATAAATTTTTTTTTTAGGCGAATGTCTGACTCATAGTTAATAATAAAAAAATTCTCAAGCGTTCTAGCTCATAATATTTTTGAAGAATTTTCCCCAAGCCCAGCCTAATATAATTTATAAAAACATTTTTCAAACCCAGCCCAACCTATAAAAATTTTATAAAAAAAGATTTTCCTAAGCCTGGCCAACCCATAGTAATTTTCAAAATTTTTTCCCAACCCGGGAGATAGGTAAATCTCTAAAAACCATATCTATTTTTTATTCTATTTTAACTCAGCTCACCCCACCCCTACTTCAGACAAAGGCCAACCCATTAAGACTGAGAATGAATACTATTTTTATAAAAATATATTTAAATTAGCTTTTACCTGAGGGCCATATAAATATTCTGTGTTAAATATTACACCTATGCCTAATATTAAAAAAATTCACAAGCCAGGTCCACGTACTTGGGAAAATTTTCTCAAAAAGACCATAATAATTTTGATAGTTGAGAACTGAAATAAAATATATAAAATGTCACAATGCATTTAAAAATACAATCAGAATATGAAAGTTGCATGGGCCTTGGTATTTGATCAGGCCTGGCCATGTCTCCAAAAGAAATTTTCAGGCCAATTTCTAACCCATATTTAAAATTAAAAAATTTTCAGGAATCTAAGACTATATTAATTTTAAAAAATGTTTCCCAAGCTACTTCCAAGTCCATATTAATTGTGAAAAATATTTCCCAAACCCAGGAAAACCCAGAATAATTTATTTTTTCCTTGGATCCAGAAAAATAGATGTGATGTAGGGGTTTATAAGAATTAAATCTGTCTAATATATATATATTTTTTTTGCCATTTATATTATTGGGAAAATTTTTCAAAATTAGGATCAAATGAAGGGGAAATATCTTATTTACCTATCATTCTACTGGTTAGCTCCTGTCTGGTATTTACATGAAAATCATGAATACATATTAAAGTACCATGTTAAAAATATGTTCATTCTAATTTAAATTTTAAACATACCACCACCCTTCCAAATGATTTATTACTTAGTTACAAAATATAAATTTAAATTTAAGACATTATTAAATTACAATAGAAAAAATAAAAAGATATTCTAAGTTAACAAATAATAGGAGGTTTACTTTAATCATAGTCAAATTATATATAAGTTAAACAAAAAAGTTATACATTTAATCAAAAATGTTATAATAAGTTATGAAAAATATACATTCTACAATTAAATTATGAAGTTATGAGAAAATAAACAAAACTATGAAATGCATGTAGAAAGGCCAATTTCAGAAAAGATAAGAGAGATGCAAATATTTACTTATGCATAAAAATTACCTAATTAAGATATAAAGTTATATAAAATTCAATGTGGAATGGATCCTTCTTAAGAGTTTTAACATAAAACTCTCATCTGCAAGAATAAATTTTTAGATTATAAAATACAAATGAATAAAAATTTATTTTAAAAGACTTTTTAACTGCACATAAATTAAAATTACTAAATATATAATTTATTAACATATTTTATAAAAATAATGGAAAATTTTAGAATAACTCTAAATAAATATAAATTTTTAAATAACACCTCATAAGAAAGGAAAATTTCTGATTCATCCCTCATCAAATAAAAGAGAAAATTCTGATTCCCCATATAATGGTTTAAATTTTAAATTATAAATAAATTCAAGAATTAAAAAAGTATTTAAATAAATCTCGTACTCTTTGAATCGTATCTATTTAATTAATTTTGTCAGATTAAGAAAAAAAAATATTTCACCAGATTAAGGAAAAAAACATTTGCCGGGATTCGAACCCAAGTCCAATAATCCACACGAAGTTCTTGCCCGATTGGGCCACAGGCACTTTTCAAAATTAACGATTTTTTGAATATATATTATAAAGTGGGACATGAAAAGTGTGACATGAGAGCGTAACGCTATTTTTGTGACAAGGCAATTTGACATAATCAGATAAATAAATGTGTTTAATTTTTTTTTATTTACTTCTATCAAGCATCACGATTAAGAATCACCATTCTACTGTGAGTTAAAATCTTTAGGTAAAACAAATAAATAGGGAAGCGCTATAATTCACCAGCTCATTTAACTATTAGCAAATAGAGGGGGCAGTATTTAAATCTTTAGAATTATGAGCTGTGAAAAAAAATTATAACAAAAAACTGGAAATACTCTGCAAAAAATTTAGGCGGGAAAAGATACATTTCTGACAGCACTACATCCTGATTTAAAACGAAATTTGGGTACCAATTTTTGTGTATTAGACGTGATCTATTTTATCATCGAAACCTTAAAAATAATAATTGATTTTAAAACGAAAGTGGTGATATATTAACTCCCCCACCCCCCTCATCTTAATTCAATCCAGATATCTACCGGTATTTTGCCCTCGACCCCAGATGTGAACATTATCGATGACGCGTTAGAATCTTCTGGCCCATCGGATCATTCTCGTTTTACCAACGATTCACCCCTAGAGACGATGAGAAAAATGGGGATGCTCGACAAGCTTAAAAAAAACGTGAGCCATATACCTCCCCCTAACATATTATCATCTCCCAAGATTATTAATACGTTGTCTGGCATTTCGTCTCCCGGTCTCGATTCGAAAGCTACTACCAATAGCTTCAAGGGAAACGATTTCGATTTAAAAAGGGCTTATCAGCTGACCAACGAATTCAAGAATCGACCTTACCAATCATCTGCTTCGCCCTTTCACCAAACCGAGTTTCAAAGTTTATTTTTTGAAATACTAGATCAAATAATCAAATTCGAGAGTTTTATTTTGTGAGCGATTATTCGATCCTTTCAAGAAAATAAAAAGATAGATGGCGAAATGTCGATTAAAAAACATTTATAATGCTTAGTATAGGAACTGACGAGACCAATAGTGCCCATATTCAGACCTACCCCAGTTTACAAATTTCAATAGCTTACCCATTTGGGGTTTTCTCCAAATAAATTTTCACATTTGGAATACTTATAAATGCCCGTTGTAATTTTTTATTGTTGTGGGCCTTCGGGACTTCTTTTAAAAATCACTGACATGGGGGAGAGTATACAAATTTTTGTTTTATTATTTTTTTTTTAAAACGACTAAATATTTAAATTGATTTTAGTTTCAATATTATTTTAACCGAAAACTTTAAGAATCCATTGACGAAACTCCCATTAACTTGAACGATATATCGATCGATAAAGTTAGTAACGTTAAACCTAGAATACACATATATTTAGCCTTTGAATGGTAGTAAATATATTTTAAAATTGTTATAACAAAAAAACCTTTTTCCTTCTTCAGCAGCCTCCTAATTTTATGCTAAACTATCTTTTCGGCACAGTTTCTTTCATTTTTATTGAACCATTTTTTATACAATAAACATTTTTTTGTTTGGAATGCTTTATTTTCTAATCAACACCTACGAATATTCTCATAGAATTTTTATCTAATAATTAAATCTTCAAGATTTTTATAATTAATTTTAAAGTTACCTAATTAAATCGGTAAAATATCTGATATATATATATACTTGATTGAGAAATACTAGTTATAAAATCCTGGCGAGCTATGCCCCGCCCCACACAAATATTCATGTTATTTTTCCCTAACTGATCATTCAAGAATTAAGGGTGCATAGAGATAATTTTTTACCAAAACTATTATATCAATATTTTTTTTGACCGATATAAGGTAAATCAATCCACGATGGAAGATAATATCACCACGCAAAACGAAACTCAGGCCTTTTTGGAGCAAAAACTCCTGGGAATCCAGAAGGATCAGATCATCCAATCCCTGAACCTCAAAATCAAGGACTTAAACGAGAAGCTGGAAGTTCTCAAGGCTAAGCGTTTGGAGGATCGCAACAAGATGAAGGAGATCGAAAAATTGAAGATTCAGCTTCAACAAGTTTTAATCTTATTTTTAAGGAAGAAAACAAATATTCAGAGATCCGCACCCCTGGGTTTAAAAGGAGATATCAGATCCGGCTAACTTTTACGAAGTAATGCCATTTTTAACAAAAATATTTATTTAGTTAATAGAATACAAGATGAAGATGCTGGATATCCACAACAAGTTAAAGGAGGAATTGCGGACCGTTAAAACGGTAATAATTTAAAAATAATTTCTCTTCTCTTAAAATTCAATGATATAAAATTTCCCTTGTTAGGAATTGGACGAAACGAAAGAAAAATACGTTAACTACGAAAATGAAGTACTGGAGTTGAACGAGATCATCGAGATGGCGACCCTGGATAAGGAGATGGCCGAAGAAAAGGTTTTTTGTTAAAAAAATTTTGAAGTGTAAACCATTCACTAAGAACCGGAACCAGAACCACCGTTTGAAAAATATTTCGAATAATTTTTTTTAGAACAGGCGTTCAAACCCTCGGTAAAAACTTGCCATGATGAATGAACTCGCTTGGGAACTATTATTTGTTGTTAAACTTTCCATACGATATTTCAGTATACTAATGCTAGCTTATTGCAATATTTTTACCAGGGCACACACCCATATTTGGCATCTGTATTTGGGCTATTATCAAGATATCGTTACTAACGATATTGGCCTTTATTTTCAATTTTGACTGGCACCATGGCCGCCCAAAATGATATTTAACTCTCTTAAATTAAAAAAAAATATAATCAAGCCTACATTTATAATATGAATTTATAAAAAATATCATTGCAAATTCTAAACCGATAAGGAAAAGGAAAAAGAATTTTCTAATATAAGTACACAAATTAACCTACATTTTAAATCGTGTCGATTCAAATGAAGCCGCTGTGAGTAATAGGCAGATAAGCTAGGAGGATATATTAATGGTTTTTACTTTTATTTTAATGATATTTGTCGGGGAACTGCATAGATGACTATTTATAAGCTCGCCTAGGTTTGTGTATTTAAATGGAGGAGAAGTCGGTGATTTTTCGACTGATTGCATGTTAAATTTTATTGTTCTAAGTTCTATTCGGTTGGAGAAAAAAATTTACCCGACTTAAATTTTTTTTAAAGCCAGGATACAGGTTCTCGAATTTTTTTAAAATAATTATCTTGATATCGTTCATAGATCGAAGGATTGCAAACCCAAATCGAGGGTCTAAAGGAAGAATTGGAGGATAAAACTCTCAAATACGATCTTCTTTTGGAAGATTCCAAGAAACAAGGTATGTTTATTTTATTTATTTTTTTAACCCTTGAGAACATCTGTTATAAAATATAACACGAGAACATTCTCCGGGTGAATATGGGCCCAGTATTTCGGTCGTGATATTTATGAGTTTAAAAAAATCATTCATATAATAGCATAATTATTTTAGAATTGAATTTCATAAAAAATTCATAAGATTATTATAGAGTTAATCAAATATCTTTTTTAGAAAAAATATATTTTTCAATTAAAAAATAAATGATAATCTTTGTAGCCAAAAATTTTCATTTATATTGCGATTATAGCATTTTTAAAAATTTTGAGTTGATGAAAATTCATAAAAAATCAAAGTAGATTAATTTTCATATTTGTTATATAGCCAAAATTATTAAGCTATTGAAAAATTCAGACTGTAGTACTTACAGGATTTCAGGTAATAACCTTTTTAAAAACTCACGAATGTTATCAAGGGTAATATAGTTTTTATGAATATATACTTATTTTGTTTAACATTTTCTTTTTTAGTCATAGACTTAGGCGGTGAAAATGAGGTATTGGCGGGAACGCCCCACGTGACCTTACATCAATTCAAACAGTTGGAGCAACAAAATTCTAGGCTTAAAGAAGCCATCATCAAGTTTCAATAATTTATGAATTGGGTTGTTAATTAGCTTGGGCGAGCGAACCATCCTCTCGTTTGTGGGGGTTTTAAAAAATCCGAGGTAACTTAACATAACCCACTAGATCCCAATATATTTTAAAAAGGTTAAAATTTTGAAACAATTTTAGTTTTTATTTATTAATTTTTTTAGAAAAAATTGTAACTTCAGGAATTTTTTTCATGATAATTAGTGTCATCTTTTTTGACATATACATGTTGCATTTATATATATATAATTTACAACGTCCTTGGCATGTTGCTTGATTAGGAATATGATCTAATTCATTACACCAGATAGAATCAATAAATTTTCTTGAGAGGTTGGGCGAAGAGATGATTAGGAATCATCTTGTCGTCGACTGAAAGATGTTCCATGGATATTCTGAATTGCTGTAAAATTTTTCACCCGAAGCTTCAAAAGTTCCAAATTTTACCTTCGATATTGATCAATCATATCATTAGCTGTGTTTATTAATGAGATGAAAAGGCTTTGAATTATAGAAAGCGGTTTCTTGATAACTTTTTAGAAAAATGTAAAGATCAAACAAGTCGTTCAATAGTAAAATATAATATTGTCATCTATTTCTTGAGAAATGTTTAAAACAAAAACATGATTATTATGTTGAGGGTATAATTCAGTTTTATTTATCAGAAGTTGATTTCATGCCAGTATCCTTAAATATGTGAAATATTTGAATAAAAGTATCAGCTAAATTCGGTAATGATTCTGGACTTTGGTGAGGTAGAGTAAAATGTACATCCAAATTTTTACGCCATTTGATATTAGATTTTATTCTTTTTTTCTGGTAGATATTTTTCACATTTGTTGTGGATGTCGATTTTTCACTTCAGAAACTTCTGCAATATTTTCCATACCCCCCTGACCAAATACCATCAATCATCACCTTAATCATATTAATTTAAAAAAGAGAGGATACTATGATCCCAATGTTTTATTTTTGATAAGAAAATAATATTTTTTAAAATTATTTCCCGAAATTAATGGATTAAAGGTGAAGGTATTCAGATATAAATTTTTTGTTATCCACAATTAGAAGATTTTTTTTAAAATTTTTGGTGAAAGGAGCTAAATTTTTTTATTGAAAATGGCCATTATTCAATAAATTTTTTTGGCTAGCACTCAATTCGAGATAAACCTTTACGGTTAAATTCTTGAAATGGTCCTGCCGGTTAGATCGAATCTCGAGCGGTTAGCTCAAACTGGCAAATTAACATTTAGGATTAATCTATTTTTTTTATATTTCCACAATACAATAATCTATTTTTATAATTTCTATATATATATTTTTAAAAATATTTTCCCCTTTTAGGTTGCGTGATATGGCTTCACAAGAAAAATCTGAAAAGGTCAGATTGTCGAAAGAAAACGAGGATTTACGTAAGAACGAATCCGTTTTAATGAGGGAAAGAGAAAAATTGACATCAAAACTCAAGGAATCTGAATTAAACACTTATGAACTAAGGTTTGTAAAACTCGAAATCATTATTTAAAAAAAATTAATTAATAGTTCGATTCGGGATGTTAGAGTGAGGGCAAATTTCCTTTTAAAGCGATTTTTAAATTAGTCTTTTTTTAATATCCGAGGAGGTTTCAGTTACACCCCCCCCCCTTCCTCCCCTACTCCCGCCTTTTATTTTTTTCGGGCACAGTAATGACGATTGTTATAATAACTGATAACTATATATTATAATATGAGAATATACTCTTAAATAGGACAAAACGTTCAGGAACAAAAAATTGTCACATTTTAGAGGAGCAAGGATAACGGCATAACTGCATTAATATTGGTCATTTTTGAGAATCCTGATCGGCCCAATACCCTTGAAAAACCGATCCAAAAAAATAATTTAAAAAAATGGCGTAAAAATTATTATATTTTTGGCACGCATCTTTTTATATTGTTTTAATTACATATTTTTCTTAAAAAAAACATAAAAACAAAAACATGTAAAACGGATTTTTATATCTCGTCTTAGCTCGACTAAATTAATTACGAATTTTGTATTAATGATATTAAACGTAAGTGTCCAGGTTGCATTACTAAAATTAGCAACTAATTTTTGTGAACTAAATTTCAGAATCATGTTATTCGTATAATATTTTAAATGAACACATATGAGGTTTGTTTTATATCTAGGATGAGGTATTAAGAAAATTTGAAATATTGAAGAATTAAATTTTTAAAATTTGCAATAAAATATTGGTAAATTTTTTCTATTTTTTATTCGGTTATACATTGTTCCAGTAAAATTGAGAGATGAATATTGCATGAAATGAATTCAATAAAAAAATTTTCTTATAATTTAAACACTAACTTTAACCTACCATTTGTATGGAGAGCATTTTAAAATTACAAAAATTATCATTGACCTAGGGGGCGGGGTTTAGATATTATTGACTACACATAATACAATTTTTTCACCATTGTAGAACTAGAAAATAATGACAAAAATTTCCCTGTTATTTTTTATATATATATAAAGTAAGCAGTGAAATACGATGGGTTTGGAATATAACTTAACAGGCGGCGTTTTTATATATCTTTTTGATTCAAAACAAACTTCATGTTTAGAAATCACTAATGTCGAAATTTATTTTTTATTAATTTATTTTAAAATAGAGAACAAGTTGACGCCGCGATGGGCTCAGAAGAGATGGTTGAGGCCCTAACAAATAAATGCCTAGATATTGAGCAGAAAAATATGGATTTGCAAGAAATGCTCGAAGATCTTGAAAAACTGCAAGAAGTTAACGAGGAAATTCAGGTTTGTACCCAAAAAAAAACAATATTTTCTAAACATTTTGTATAAACTATTTAATATTTATTGAAACACACCTCTATTTATTGATAAAATATTACTTGGTAAGTTCAATATTATAAGCGTTGAAAATATTTACATCTAAATTATATGCATAATTTCAACACCCCCTCTCCATTTCCTCATTCTATAAGGACAATTTCAAGGAAACTGAACAAGACTTGATCCGGGAACGAGACGAGGCTCTGACCCGCCTTTCCTCCTCAAAGATCAAGTTGGAAGCAGCACTCGATGTGGTCAAGGACCACGAGTCGACCATCATCAAGTTCCGTTGCTTGGTAGCCGGATTGCAGCAATCCAATCGAACCCTGGCCGAGCGGCCAGCACCCTCAGTTCCCATTGATTTGCTGACTGAAATAACGCCCGACACTGTGTTTAAATCTTCACTCATCGCTCATTCCGCTTTTGAAATCTTGGCCCACGTTTGGAAACGGCTGAGCGTCATCCTGATTTGTGCTCAAGACCATTCCGACGCCTCAATCATTCTTCCATCCCTTGTCATTGTTTCTGGATGGTATATTCATGCTGCATCTCCTGCCTTAACCCTGTTAACCCTCCACTCTATTCGGTCTGCCCCTACGCCTCGTTTATTTATAATCGAAAGCTCGGAGCGGGTTGAGAGCCTCTCGGATTTCTCACTTCGCTGCATTCTCTATGCCGCGCTCGACCAGATCGCTTTCCAGTGCCGATGTATCGTCGAAGCCAGTAACCGAGTGGATGGCTCACCAAAAATGCTAGCGATGACAACTGAACAGAGAGACACTCGATCGCTTTACTTGTACACCCGTTTATCTATGGTCCTTTTAAACTCAAACAACGCAGGGGCCAATTGCGTTGACGGGCTTTGTTCGGATCGAGGATTGGAACACCTCCTGACCGAAACACAGGTTTATTTGCTTGCCAGAATTTTAGCACAACACTCGATCGATGGCATTGAAACATCGCACACAGGTGAAGAGAGCTCACTGCTTACCTCACCTTGCGAAAACGAAATCAGTCTAAACCCCGGCCATCTGCTTAATAATCAAACCATTCTACGCGCCACAATCAGTAGTCTTAAGACCTTTACTGATCAGACCTTACTCGTTAATATGAAGACGACGGTTGACAAAATTCCCTTCGAAAGCCACGACCTCAGTGTTAACAAGGCCATGGATAACGTTATCATTGACTTACTTGATTACATGGAAGCAATGGCTAGTCGATGCAATTATTCTATCATGATGATGACTGGCGAATTAACACCGAGTTCTGAAACGAAGGAATCTACTATTCTCAAACTTTGTCAATCCATCAAAAAATTTAAGGCAAACCGGTTCATATATTTTGGGCGTCAACCCAAATCATCTCACGATGAGCATATGTTATATAGTGAATACATCCGCAAACTGGACCTTAAAGGGTTAACCGATTGTTTCCACACTTTCGAAGTCTCGTCCGATCTTCTAGCAGATCACGCTTCCGAAACTAAAGTGAAAGTTTTACCCGAGACACTGCACATAAGGTCCGTTATCGATCGAGATTTAAACGCTTTTAAGGGTGCTTTGAGTCGTGGGGAAAACGACAAAATTTTGGTGACGTTTTCTGCTCTGATGGCGAGCGCCACGAAATTTGTGGAGCACGAGACTGAAGTAATATTATCCGATATTGGTTCCGCGACCTCACCGGCCTATCAATTCGAGGCCGCCTTAGGAGAATACGGTATATTTTTTTGATATAAGTTTCAACTAATGAATATGCGCTTAATATCATTTTTATTAAATTCACCAATACTTGTCAATTACCTTGGGTTGCGCCACCCACGTTTTTTTTATTCAAATTTTTTTCTATTGGATTATGATTTTTTCCCGAATTTTATCCCCATTTTTAAAGCCCTGCAAGTCAACTGGAAGCCCGATTTAGTTCGCGACTTGTTCCGGGTTCAATAAAAAATTTGAGCCTGGCTCGGACTTAAAAATAATTTTTAAAAAAGTCGAAAAAAATTAAATATATAGCAATATTTTACCTTCCTCTTTTCCTAATAAACTGATATTTCTAATTTATCTGGGATGAGGAAGCCTTTAGTAATTTTTTTAAATTACATTTATCTTTAAAAAAAATGCTTTTAATTTATATATTTTTTTGATTAAAAATTTCCTGGCAAGGTTCCATCTTAAAATAAAAATTCGGAAATGGGCGAATAAATAAATTTGAATAGGGCCTAAATTAAACCAAATTACTGTTGAATGATGTTTTTTCGACACACAACAAAAAAAACAGTATCGTACAAATACAAATGATATTTTTTTTAGAGAATATATTTTTTTTAGGCGTAGTATAATTGATTGTATATTTTCAAAATTAATGGATAAAATTTGTATATTCATAAAATAGGAATATAAGTAGATGTATTTTTTTCAGGAATATTCCCTAACGTTCCTAAACTTAGAACAAAAGTGGACAGTTGTTCCAGCGGCCTGGTAATTGATACTTATATTTTCCATCATTTGATACGGATTTAATCAATCAAGCCATAAATTCATAATATTAATGAATATTATATCGCTTCATTGGCCTTGGCGTCCACAGAGTAGTGATCTGCATCGGGCCTAATTTTTCAAGCCCAGCCCGAAATTTATTTTAAAAATGTTTTGGCTCCGAACCCGAATTTTTTTTAAAAAATTTACCGGCCCGGCTCGGCTCGGCTCGAATTTATTTAAATATAGAAATTAATTTTTATAATTACTCAAAATAAAAGACATATGTTATATGTCGTTTAGTTTCAATAAATAAAATCAAATATTTTTATTTTACATTAAAAATTCAATGTAAAATTGATAAATTTAGATATATTTAAAAAATTTCCAAGGTCCGACCCGACTCGGCCCGAATTTTTTATAAAAATATTAGGCTTGGCCCAGCCCGAACCCGATTATTTTAAATAAATTAGGCCCGACGGACTCGGGCCGGGCCTAACTTTGCAGATCTCTACCACAGAGTATGAGGGCACTTGCTTTCCCCTGAAAAATTTATAAATTTAAAATTCATTTTGTAATCCCTAAGGTTTCATAAGGATGTGTATTTCCCTCTCCCTTCTTTTATTTCGCGCCTTTATATATTATGATAACTATTTAAAAAAAATCATTAGAATATACTGCAAACCTTGGGTGGGGGATAAAGAGAGAATTTTTTATTAGCTTTAAATGATACTTGCGAGAACAGTCAAATTTCCCACTTTCCAACCCTTGGTAACGCGCCTAGTTCAGCGATACTATCTATAAGCCACCTTTTGATTTTATGGCATATAAAACCGATATTTGGTTAGTTTTAAATATAAGATCGATTTGATATCTTGCCCAGAAGGCCAATATCGGTACCGATACCGATTTTGAATCTGTGCAGCCCTATGCTTAGTTAATTCACATTATAGTTATGCTAATTATTAGATATTAAACTTGCCAATTTTTTTAAAAAACAAAAATTATGATAAATTAGTCGAGTCCAATTCTGACAAAGACATCGATTATCTCTTCTCTCATTTCTTCCAGAACTTTTGTGTAGAACCCATGAACGCGCCCTTAACTTCTACTATTAAAACGGCTCTGGATATGGTCCCTGCATCCAATCGCTTAAATCTGGACAATGACCGAGACGGATCCGTGTGCTCTCCCGAGGGGCCTGCTTCCGTCTACACCGTCAACGACGAAAACGAACAGCAACATCTTTTTGAATACAGGGTTCGGCTCAAGAGGAAAACCGAGCAATGCGAGGAGATGCAAGTCAGACTCGAGTTGGCTGAGAATAGAATTCGGGTTGCTACAGGCGAACTCGAGGCTGTTCGATCTCATTACGAAGACCGAATTCGCCACGAGACCTCACGTGCTGCAGACAAAGAAGCAGAGCTAGCACATGTATTACGGTCACCACGATCTTTTCACTCTTCGGGGACTAGCAGAGCTGTTTCAGGTGTCGCCAAGACCAAACCCAGGCCTTTTCCCGGATTTCCCATCGATGCTACCATGGTTCAGAACGAGGATGACAAATTAGTTTTACTTTCACTGGATGCCAGCTCACCAAAACCTAAAGCATACCAAGATATCTGCGTTGGTGAAATTGCGTTCAAGCCGAGTAACGTTCCACTCAGGCGCTCTCTCGCACTCTTGTATGAGGCTAAATTGAAGATTTTATCGCGATATGCTTCCAACCTTTCCAGGTGCGCTCGATCATATGAACACGACTAAAAAATTATTAGATTTTATTAATTTTCTTTGTCAAGTATTTAAATTAATTATAAATCATTTTAATTTTTTTTTATCAAGCAGTTAAATTAATAATAAATCATTTTAATCATAATGATTTATTTTAATAACAATTGTAAGTATAATCATATTATTAATTGGTCAGTATATAATGAGAATCCATTTTAGGATATATGTTGTGATGTAATATTTAAAGTTAATCTTGGAATTATTACATATTACAACTTTATTGTCAATTAGCCCCATAGAGTGTAAATTATAGTTTTTAAATTAAAATTACGAAAGAAGTATGAAGATCAATAGTAACCCCTCTCCCACACCTTTTTAATTGCTGGCATATTAATTATGTTATTTCATCCTTTTTTACATGTAACACATTTTTTTTTCTTCTCATTTTTTTAAATTTTATTCGATACATGTAGTAATATAATATATATTCTATTTAATATTTTTATGGTCTTTTATTTATAATAATATATCTCTTGCGGCTATAAATCAAAATTTAAAGTATCTATAATTGTAAAAGTTAATTTATGTTGAAATAATAATCAAATGTTTTTTTATATACAATTAACTTTTACCGAAAGAGATATATTATAATTGTGATAAATATTATTTTACCACCACTTAAATAAATATCTTTAATTCTTGTCTAACTCATTCCGTAAAATCCCTATAATATTTAATATTATTAACGAAAACAAACAATGTTAAAATTTGTTTATGCATTTTTTTTTCAGGTACCGTGACCCGAATTCTCATGAATTCTCGTTTGTGCATGACCACGAACACATAAGAAAACAACGTATTAGCGTCAAAAAGCGGACCTCTGTCAACGATGCATTGCGACATGATTTTCTTGACGCTTTGGCGTCCCCTAAGGTTTTCGATTTAACGATTGACTCCGGGCTTTCTCATACTCGCCAATTGACTGATATGTCTCGATTGAAAAAGATATCCAACGAATTGGAAGACCAAAAAGAAAATAGTCACATTCAGTCTGAACCGAGTATCTCCTATTCGGGATCATTGTTCGAGTGTTACAATGGCGTTAAAAGAATAATCGAAAAGACCGAAAATCATGATACCCAACCACACTCATTTTCTAAATTATTGTTGGCGAAAATAGTTTTTCGATCTACGGTCCAAAAAATATCCAACCCTACTAATCGTTTATTGTTAAATCCTCAAATTTTTAAAGATATATATGCGCTTTATAACCATAAAAAACCCTAATATTTTAAAATTATATATTGTTTTTTGTTTATTTTTTTATTTATAAATATCTGTATATCATTTTAAAAGCATAAATGTGATAATAATTAATAGGCCTAATCATAATAGATTTAAGTTATTTTTGTTATTTATTTTGTTACACATGCTTCTCTTTTTGATATACATTTTTAAAAGAATTTATTTTAAATGTTATTTAATTTTGAACGCGATGTCACAAATAAATAGTGTATAACTTCACGCCATTTTCTATGTTGTATATATATATTTATGTCATTTTTATCGCGCATTTTGAAGTACAGCTTTGAACGGCGGAAGCATGAGGTAGCAACGTATAGAGGTCTAATACCTAAATTTTTATTAAAATATAAATAAATTAAGTCTGTTAATATGTTTTAAATATCGAAAACAAAGAAATAAAATAGCCTTTATTATCTGAAGTCAAGTTTATGCTGTTTGTGATACCCGATTCATATTTTATTATAAAATATAGAGGAATGTACAGATTTTTTAAATATCGTATCTTTCTATTCGTACTTTTAAGCGACCTATCCAATCCCATGGCGGGTAAAAATAATTGCCAAAATTTTGAATTGGAATATCCAGTATTCGGTTTATAAGTATATTTATTTTATTGGCATATTTATGGTTTACTTTACTACCTATAAAAATTTTCTCCATTTTAAAATTTTCAGGAGCCTGTTCTAACAAAACTGTAAGTGATATATATTGTTTAAAATATTGCATAATTTATATTACCGTTTATTTATTGTTAGTGAAAATAAAAATATATTAGAAATTTTTTATTAAAAAATACTATTAAAAAAAAATTAATGCTTAAAAGTGGGCATAAATGAAACTTCCGTTGAGAACCTTACTTCAAATGATTTGCCTTGACCCCCTCCCCCAGAAATAGGAGTGCTAGAGATCCTTGTAGTATTATAGGTATTTATTGAATGGGATATTAAGAGAAAAGTTAGAATATATATTAATTATATTGACTTGTAGAAAGAGGTTCATATTGAAAATATGAGGGAAGAAGTATTGGCAAGTCGGCTAACTTCCCAACTGGCAGGATTAGCCCTATTGCGTCTTCTACTGTTAAAGAATATGCTGGAGGTTCGAGATGATTTGGGACCCGGCGTAGAAGGATTTGGATACTATTAAATTCACATTCTAAAGACATGCTTTAGCCTATTACTTTTGAACTTGTTAGATCAGGATAGCCGAAACTATGATCTGTCACTCAACTGCTTTTGCAATTGTAAGCAAAAACCTTTTTTAGCTCAAGCCCAGACTATTAAATCGATTAAAGTTTAAAAAACGATAATGAATTTTATTTGTAATTCTTTTGGCATATATACATTTATATAATTATCCAATTTAACTTCTAATAGTATGCAATTTGATTAACCTCGATAATATAATATTACATGTCGGAAAGTTATAATATAATATACAAATAACGTCCTTTTAAAATATATAACGTGATTAAAATATATCTTAACCTTTACAATAATAAATATTCAGATGTAACATATCTTCTTTCCCACCAAGTTAAGATCGTCTACCAATCTTTTTATTTACCAAGTTCAAGTTCATCTATTAATCTTTTTGTTGGCTTTAGTTCCCTTGTTGGATAACCCGTTTGCCTTCCTTTTTTACTTGGTTCAATTGTTATTATTGATTTGCTTACGTCTGGTTCTTCCCTTATTCGTAGTTGGTCAGGATGTTTTAATAAGGTTTTGTACGTTTATTTTTTTCTTCTTTTTCTTCTTCCCTTTTCCAGGATTGTGATGGCGATTCTAGTTTTTCGACCAATTGTTCCCACCATCACTGTTTTATTTTCTCTTGTTATTTTATCATCATTTATCTGTAGACCTATAGCGATTTTTGCGATTCTTTGGCAGAATTATTTTCAATCGTAGTTCACCTGAAGTTTTACGTACCACTACCATTGGAGTACTCCAAGTTACTCTATATAGTTTGTCAATATTCACGTTACCATTATCATTATATTGTTGATCATTTGATTTCTAAATATGTTGGTAACGATAAGTAAAATTCTATAATCCCTGGAAATCCAAATAGGCTGTGTCAAATTTTATAATCCACGGAAATCCAAATAGGCTGTATCCATCATTTTGATAGTGCCCTTTTCATTATCATAAATTCTATAATCCATAAATAGGCTGCATCGTGCCTTTATCATAAATTCTATAATCCATGCAAATCTAAATAGGCTGCATCAATCATTTTGATAGTGCCCTTTATCATTATCATAAATTCTATAATCCATGGAAATCTAAATAGGCAGCATCAATCATTTTGAGAGGTGCCCTTTATCATTATTATAAATTCTATAATCCACGGAAATCTAAATAGGCTGCATCAATCATTTTGATTGTGTCCTTTATCATATAAATTCTATAATCCATGGAAATCTAAATAGGCTGCATCAATCATTTTGATTGTGTCCTTTATCATATAAATTCTATAATCCATGGAATCTATCCTTTTGATAGTGCCCTTTATTATTATCATAAATTCTATAATCCATGGAATCTAAATAGGCTGCATCTATTTTTTTGTTAGTGCCCTTTATATCTTAAATTCTATAATTTTGTTTAAGTTTAACGGTTGGTCTTCGTCTTTAGTATCTGGGTATCGTAAACATAGTTCTCCGGCGATTAATTGATCGCGAATTCTTAGTTCTACGTTATCTTCAAATTCGCATCTTCGAGCTAGCTCCTTTATATATATTTTTTTTTATATATCTCATTACGGATTCAGTAGGGCCGCGACTTAATCTAATGAAATCATTTGCTCCTCTATCAATAGAAAATTTTGAGGATATTTTATGTGTCTATAGACGTCAGTAGCCATTTATCTCATTCATCTTATTTATATTTTTTTAACAAAAAAAAAATTAAAATTCTATATAATATTTAACTTGATCGAAGACCGAAAACCGCTCGACCTTTTACCTCGTCGCCAAATATTATATCGATTAAAGTTTAAAAAACGATAATGAATTTTATTTGTAATTCTTTTGGTATATATACATTTATATAATTATCCAATTTAACTTCTAATAGTATGCAATTTGATTACCTCGATAATATAATATTACATGTCGGAAAGTTATAATATTATATACAAATAACGTCCTTTTAAAATATATAACGTGACCTTTTAAAATATATCTTAACCTTTACAATAATAAATATTCAGATGTAACACAGACCAACAGCGGCTTTAAATTTACTGGTAATGCTAAGTGCATTTTTATAAGTTTGAGAAGCCCCTAGTAGTTGTAGGTTAGACAAATTAGCGGACAAGGTAAAATGTTTTTAAAATTATTAGAACTGAATGTAATTGTTACAATCAACGAAATTATCTCTAGGCAGCATATATATGCGCGGGGGTGGGGGTGGGGTAGGAACAGTTTGCATCTAAATATTTAAAGGGGATTGAGGGTATACATTAATTGGATGGTAGGGTATAATTATTTAGAGTAATATCTACATTTTTGAATGATATTTGGATAATATATTTACTAGTTGATATAGCCATCAAGAATGAGGGGGAATTAGAATTTTTTCTTTATTTGATGATGGATAAATCAGAATAAGCCTATCTTATGAGGTGCCAGAAATTTATATTTATTTTGACGAGTGTTGAAATTTTTATAAAATATGTTAATAAAGAATATATTTACTACCTTCAATATAAACAAATAACTGGAAAATATGTGTGAAAACACATTTTTTTCATTATATCAGTTACAAAATATGTGAAATAATTGTATTTATGTGCACAATTAAAATATTTTTGACTGCTTTTTTATACATTTGTATTTCTAATTGACCTAAAAACTTTAATATTGGTTTGATTTAATACCACAAAACCCTCACCTAGAAAAAATACATTTTTTAGGTTATAAATTACAATTACAAATGTATAAAACATAGTTGAAATTTTTTTTTATTGTGCACATAAATTAAATATAAATTATATTAACATATTTTATAAAAATGGAAAATTTCAGAATAACATCTCAGGAAAGCAAAGGTAAATGTTTGAATCACATCTCATAAAATAGGAACATTTTTGATTTATCCATCATCAAATAATGGAGAAAATTCTGATTCATCCGTCATTGGGGTTGTTAGAAAGTCTATTTGGAACTTTATTAAAAAACGAACCAATTAATATTTTAGTCTTAATGATATTATTTCTGGATATTTTGCTCATAGTACGCAAGAAGGTTTTAAACTCTATTTGACAAATCTTGAGGCTTGCATAATATTATTTTTGACTAAAATATTAATCGAATAGCTTTTAGAAATCGACCCCAATCAGGCTTTTTAACAACACTACCCGTTATTCTTGATGGGCTATCTACTTGTATTTTATAAAATTAATAAAAAATTTTGCCCAAGCTCGTATCCAAAGATTTTATTTATTGTTTTTAATGAAAATAAACGTCGTATTTATTGCAATCATATGCAATATTGAAATTTATTATAATTAAAGGAAAAAGAATGCAATATTTTATAAAGTTAGCAACTTTTTTAAGTAAGCTAAATTTAAATGAGAAATTTTTACCAAGCCCATTAAAAAAATTATCCAAAACCCAGGCCCAGCTCAGCTATGTTAGAAAAAATAATATTATACCCGGCACCCCGTGGTTCTTAATTGAATTGTTAAACTATTTTTAATCATTAAAATATTAAACCATTTAAAATCATTAAAATTGTAAACAGAAAGAAAAAATAAATTTCTTATTAAAAGTAAAAACAATATAAAGGAATTTAAATATACGTAATGAAAGATAATTTATTTAAATATTAGTATCTTATATTCTGCTTTTTAGTCAGAACTTCTAGAAGAATTGGAATATTTCCAGTGGATGTATATTTAAAATGTTCCCAAGTGGTCACGTTTAGAAAAGTCTATAGACTTTTGGAAAAGTAAAAATGTTTCTAATGAATCAAAGTTGTTCGACCAATTTTGCAACTTTGAATGTTTATTACAAATAAAATGAAAAGTGTTAAATATTTAAAACTTCCTCTTCTTAAAAATGGGTCTAATATTTCTATATTCTAATCCTTGAACAACGTAGTGTAGTGCTATTTTAATAAGTTTCATTTTATTCTATATCAGCTCATACAGCTAAAGTTGTAAAAATATTTTCTCTTACCAATAGTCAAATGAGAGGAATAGATTATCCGTAGAATCTAAAGCAATTATATGCAGGCAATATAATTTTTTTTATCAAGATTTCTATAACTTTTAGAGTTAAGGGCAAATATATTATGAAAAATATAGATTAAAAAAATATGATTATTAAGTTGTAAGAATTTAATTTTATATTATTTATATATATGATAGCTTCAATGTGTTTTTTCCGGGAATTTGCTATTTTTTCGCCTTCATTTTTTTAGCGCGTTTTTTTTAAATTTAAAATTTCGATTTTACCGGAAATGTTTTCTTTGAAATGCCTATAAATATGAGACAATTTCGCTATGAACTTTTGAACTTAATATAATTTATATAAGTTTTTCCATAGATTTTTATATAAATTATAAATGACTCAAAGGTTAACGGCAAAATTTTCTAAAATTTATAAGATAGGTATTCTAAACATGTTGAAATAGGTCTTGTGTAAGAAAGGATGACTGGAACAATATAAAACAAAAATTATAATAATTCTGAGAAAATATGGACCGCATATAACGATATTTATAATGAGATGTAAAAAAAGTGGATGGGACATATACATTGGAATTGGATACATAGATTTAATTGGATTAATTGCGAAGAATATATTTGCATTTTACATAATAAATAAAATAAAGAATGTTAACAAATAAAATAGAAAATTTTAAGATATTAATTTATCAATTTTATAAACTTCATCCAAAAGGTTTAAAACATCTGAGATTTAATTGTTTATTTTTGTTTTTTTCTTTAATAACTTTATTAAGATTGGGGCTACTAAACTGTAAAACATTAATCTCTATTAACGATTCATTGTTAGTGCTTCCATAATTTCGCTGGCCACACTACATCATGACAAAAACCAGAGTTATAGTAGAGACCAGGTATCTTGTGAGCCTTGAAGTTTTCTTTTAGGCACTCAACTCTAATAATAAATTTTTTAATCAAATATGTATAACTACATTATATATATGCGGCTATTTTTTTAAATTTATATAACACAATATATGATTTATACCCTCAAAAGAAACTTTTTTAAATGCGGCAATTTATAGAAAATAAAAAATAATAAAGGTTTTAATTATTCAATAACTATCTTATATAAAAGATTAATTCATATTCTATATATAGTTATTCTTTATTTGAAAAAATAATATGTTTAAACTATCATAACATTAAATTTTAAAGATATTGAGGGTCAGAGGTTCATATGAGCTTTTGAGCGTTATTTTTAAAATTTATTTTAGCTTATTGAAATTTGAATGTGGTAAGAAATCATATTAGAAAGAAGAAATAACTAAAAAATAATAAAACATGAAATCATTAATAAATTTAATAAAAATCCGTTCTTGCTATCCGTTACGGAGAAAACAATTAAGGTATGCAACATTAAAAAGATATAAATCAAGACCAATGAAACAAAAAGATTTAAAATTGTCTACATAAGACAAATATAAGAAAATGAAAGTATATATTATACAATGTATCTAAAATGTTTATGGGTCTTTATCCCACATAAGTTCTCTTTTTCTTTGCATGAATCCTATTGCTATTTTAATATATTCTTTATTTGTTTAAATTGTCAATAAATTTCACTAATTATTTATAATTATCAGAGATCTGCAGAGGTACCATTTGTACGACCCGGATTTTTTTTTTAAATTTTTTTCGGCCCGGCCCGGATTCCAAAAATTATTTTCGGCTTTTTAAAAAATTCAGGCCTGGCCCGGATTTTTTTAAAATCCATTTTATTTATTTTTGATTTTTATAGCTAATAATGGCGATTTCAAATATTTGGTTTTAAAATATACGGCCCGGATATTTTTTTAAAAAAATTTTCAGGCACGGTCCGGGTATATTTAAAAAAATTAAAATACGGCCGGGCCGGGCTTAGCCGGGCCTGTAGGTTTCTGATAATTATTTTCCATTATGGCTTATTTTCAATAAGTTGTAAATAATATATTTATCATATTTGTATTTAAAAATAATCAATATTAACAGCTCAAAATCTCATCATGGGAGAGCTCATTTTTCCCAGGGTGTAGCTCATCCTTTCCATTTTCAAAAAAATAATATTGCTAAAAAAGTATAATTTTATAAAAAAAAATTTTAAGTACATAAAAGTAATAAATGAAATAAAATGAGGTATTATTTATTCAATATTATCAAGTAGTTTTAATTTTTTTGATTTGCCTTTTTAGACTAGCATGCTCTACTATCTCCCATACAATTATAGTTTTTGTTTTGGTGGGCCGCCCTTTGTTTATTTTTTTCTTAAAAATTGGGGATACTAAACTGATTGAAGCACTAACCTCAACTACGAATCACTAAAGAATAAAATAAGTTTCACCGTTAGCGCTACCATTCGTTAGGCCAATTTCAAACCTAATTAGTGACGTCATAACTTTAATTTAGCTTATAACTTTTTTATAAAGTGGTTAAATAAATTATTAATGGAATTTAATGTATAAATTAAGCACTTATTGGCTAAAACCAAATGTTTAGTTTTTGTTTTGGCAAGTCGCCTCATTTGTTTATTTTTGACTTTTCGCAAATAACTTTTTCGGTTACAAAAAGTGATTGAAGGACTAACCTCTACTCCCGAAGTACTAAAGAATGGTATGGTATATGTTTCGTCGTTAATGATTCAATCGAATTTTAAGCGTGAAATTGGCTAAAGTTTTTATTTAGGCTTATAACTTTTTTTCCCTAACTTCGGTTACTATAATTGAAGCACTAACAAGCACTAAAAAATAGAATAAGATTCATCTTTAGTGCTCCCAATCGTTGGGCCGCCTTCACATATAGGGAAGACCGGGATAGTGATTGACGGGGTAACAATATTAACGCGAATAACTTCTTATCCCTTCAGCATAAAGATTTTAAATTTGGTGTGAAGATGTATTCTTATATCTAATTTCCTATAAACTTGTGTCTATATTGTTTTATTTCTCAATATATACTTTACACTTTTATAATCCATCATAAGAAATTCCCTTTTTTGATTTATTCATACAAAGGATGCTGAATCACATTCATATTTTCCAGAATAAAATGAATGATTGACATTTTCTTGATATTCTACATTTATAAATTATCTGATTGTCATATGATATTAGATAAAATAAATATAACATAAACTACGAAACGATAACCCTTTACAGGCCACGTGATACATTCTCAAAAAATATTATTTTATATAGTTCGCAAAATTTGCTTCATTTGGCCTTTACAGGTTGCGTAACTTTTCCTCAAAATATATTAATATTACATATAACTTCCAAAAAAATCATTTCAATGCTTCATTTAGAATCAAAGTTCATCTGCTAACATTCATCTTGCGTCAAAGTCCACCTGATACCAAAATCCCTTTAGTAAATCACTTTAAATCGTTCATTTTGAATCAGAGTTTCTCGGCTACCATCATCCCATACCTAAATTATCTATTATTTCCCAGCAAATCAGGAGTTTAATGTAACATTTGATATATATTTTTTATACGGGTACAAAATATTGATTACATGTAAATGCAATTTTATTAAAAATACATAATGAAGAGGATATCTTTTATCAAAGAAATATTTAATTAAAAACAAATATAAGGGGGAAGGGAATATTGATTACTAATCGTTAGAAGGGGTTGGGAGGTAGAAATAGTTAATGATGTTGTGTAATCTATATCTATCATTTACAAAGAAATAATTACAATTAATTAAAAGTGGACCAAGTCACAATTGAAAATAGACCAAAATTAACACCCCATTCAAAATAGACCACAATTATAAATGAGCACACATGTCCGCCCTTTTAAAAAACACCATCATAAATCTCATTGTAACCTTTCTATAAAAATTGGTATTTTTTTAAACTCATTTTTCGCAATAATTATTTCCAATTTAACCAGTGTAAATTAAAAAATCAACATAATTTTATCAGTGTATTTTTAAAAAAGCCTATTTTAAAATTTAAAACATAACTAAAAGTTTTTAATAAATTTTTAACTTTTTTATATAGTAAAATATTATGATGAATCAAGAATTTTATTTATTGCTTTAAACAATTTATTTGTCCGTTGAATAACTATGAAATTAGTCTATAAATTAAATCTATAACAAATAAATTGGTGTCGGTTTTAATAATTTTATTTGATTATATATTCAATAACATTTCAATAGATTTTATAATGAGTTTTAATAATTATCGTAAATTATAGAAATATTATAACAGATAAATGTTCATATATAATAAAAAAATAAATTTGTTTAAAAAAAATCATTTCAAATTAGCATTGATTTATAAAGAGATCAATATATCAACCACACCTATCATTATTGTGAGTATATAAATAAATAACGTATCTATAAAATAAGTGATATAATTTTTTAGTAATTTTTATATACATACTTACATACATGTAAGTATTAAATTAAATTTAAAACTATATATTATTTGTAAATCTTTTGATGGGCATATAATTTAGAATTATAATAATATTATACATATAATTTTATAAATTGATTTACAATTGTTATGGAATTAATGATTGATTCCAACAACATAAAAAAATATTAGACATAATGAGCAAAATGTAAAATATGGGGTAAGCGAATTTGCTACCAATAAAAAAAATTAACAATAATAGGGAATAAAATAAAATATAGATTGTTAATTAAGATTTGATTAGATATATATTGTAAGTTATGATCTGCCTTAGAATACTATAAAATATTATATTAGTCAAATTAATAAACACAATTCCATGGTTCATAAAGAATCAAACTTTTTAAAATATTTATTGAACAATGAAGTAACAAAATGTAAATAAAAGTTTAAAATAATATATTAAAAATATATTTGATTTATAATATAAATATAAGGTTTTTAAAAAAATAGGTTATTCCGCATATCGATAAAATTTCACCATAATTATATTCCACCGGACTATTTTTCAGATATATTAAAACACCCAGGGAATTCGTTATAAATAACAATCGAAGTGTTAAAGTTTAAATTTTAATCAGAGGAGTATTTGCTAAAGACTGTAGTAAGTTTTTGTATATCTCGATACCGTTAAGATACGTGCCTTTATTAACGCATTCGTCATTATCGTGGGCAAGCATGGGAGTGTCATTAAACAACGATATACCATAACATGGAATATCTAACTAATAAAATATAAAATTAATTTAATTAAAATAAGCAAGAGGGTAAAATTTAGGTATTATTTTTGACTCTATACATAGTTTCAAACCCTTCAATGAAGAGGTGAAGTTTTTCAAGACCCAAAAGATTTTTAAAAAGTTTTTATTATAGAAAACAAATTAACTGGTAAAAGTTTCGTGTATTTATATTGTATTAATATTTTTTAAAAGATACTAATGTTTTCTGGGGAGGTAGAAAACACTTTTTATTTATCAAAATATATAGACGTTTAAATGAAAGATTTTGGATCGTTGTGCATAAGGCAAAGGCGGCCTGCACCATAACGGGGAAAGGGTTCCTTATCTATTTTTACTTAATATTCTGTTCGATGGAAATGAGAAATACCTAGCATAACTCTGTTGTTGTACAACACTAGAAAGCTTAGCGTTCAAATCGCATATCGCGTAAAATACATCGCTTGAAAATACTGAAAATCAAACATCCGGTTCCGTATATAATTTTCAGGAAGAGATGCTTCCGAGGCTATTAACTTGGACGGGACGAGCCCACATCCACAACGTTTGACTTTCTTTATTTTAAAATATCAATGCTGTAAATTTATGTGAGGATCATGATAAAACAATTTTAAAAATGATTAGTCCCACCACATAGCTTAAATGACTTCTTTTTTTTTACCCTGTATTAAGAAAATGAATAGATTGTTTAATAACAATTTCGTGTAGTTGAAGAATTATCTATCATTTTAACAAACAAATAGCATCCTAATATTTAATATGAGGGCATATCCCATTTATCAAAAAAGAAATTATATGTTCTTTTTGTAATAGAAACAATTAGCCTCAAAGGCAATTAAATATATGATGAATTTAAAATATATATATTATTAATTGTGTACGACGATTAATTGTTTGTTTTGTAAAATATATATATACTGCGGTACAAAAGGTAAAAAGATGTTAAATTTATAATAAAAATTGGTTTCATCACAATGGCGCAGTCGTTTCAAATGGAGAAATATAATATAAAGGAGTGCAATATGTAAGTTTATTTATCAAAAATGGAATTCATATTTAAAATCGCAAAAATAGAAGACAAAAAATCATTTTTATTAGCGAATATTGGATTAGAGGTTTATTCTAAATTATTTAATTTGTGTTTGCCAAAGACATTAGAGGAAATATCATATGATGACATAATTAAACTTTTAAAAAATTATTATATGAAGAAGACAAACTTCATGTTAGAAAGATATTATTTCTTTAAAATGGAACAAGAAAAAGATGAAACCATCGTAGAGTATATTAATAAATTAAAGATAAAGGCAAAGACGTATGAATTTAAAGATATGTATAATACAGTATTGCGGGACAAATTAGTGTCAGGAATTAATAATGGAAAAATATTAATGAAATTAGTTTTAGTAAATGGTCTGAAATACAAAAAATGACGATGAATAATTTTACTGAAGTAAGAAAATTGTTGTTAAGACTTTTTGCTATTTTCGGTTACCCCAATACGATTGTTACGGATAATGGACCCCCATTTCAAAGTAGAGAATTTAGTCTATTTTGCAAACAATTATCAATTAAAAATGTATATAGTGCCCCATACCACCCTAGAACCAACGGAGAAGCGGAGCGATTAGTACAAACTTTTAAATTTTTTAAAAAAAAACATAATGATTATAATAAAATACAAGATTTTTTGTTTAATTATCGAAATAAGCCACAAATAACCACAAAACAATCACTAAGTTCAATTATGCTTAAATTTCAACCCATAGGACCTTTACAATTAATAAAACCAATTTATCCTCATCCATATATACCTCAGTTACCAGGTTTTTTTAATATAAATGAAAAAATATATGCAAAAGATTTTAAAAAAGATAATTGGATACCAGGTATCATCGTTAAAAGAGCAGGACCAATGACGTTTTTAGTTGAAACTAAATTAGGGGTATGGAGAAGACATATTAATCAATTAAAACATAGGTTCGACAACTCCGATTTAAAAAATAGAGAGGAGGGAAGAGAAGAAACGATGCAAACTACACTACAAATGAATGAAAATGATCATATACAAAATTCGATAGCAAAAGACATAGATCCTATACACGAATTGGTGACCAAAGACATGGACCCAATACAAGACTCAATAAACAAAGACACCATCATAAATGATAAGATGAAAATCGACAGTAATGAGCAAACGGTGGTAGAGAACGAAAGTACAAGCAGCCGTTATCCAAAACGTAAGAAAACAATTTATACCGTTTCAAATCGAGAGCCCAAAAAGGAGAGAATAGATGTAATAGAAACAATTAGCCTCAAAGGCAATTAAATATATGATGAATTTAAAATATATATATTATTAATTGTGTACGACGATTAATTGTTTGTTTTGTAAAATATATATATACTGCGGTACAAAAGGTAAAAAGATGTTAAATTTATAATAAAAATTGGTTTCATCAAACTTTTGATATTTATAATGAAATGTGAATTGATAAATATTTTGTAAGGCATTAAAATATCAAATCCCGAGAAGAAAAGTGACTTTAATTAATATATTGAGACCATGAAAAAAATACGTGGCATATGAAGCTATTTCGAATTGTTATCATCCTGCAACGGACAGTATGTTAAAATAAATTGTATTTTAGGTTTCTTTTTAGCTAATACGATGTATATTTAAATTTTATTCAAAAATAACTCAAAAGTTAATTATCAAACTGTATAAAAGTTATAGGATAGGAATTTTACACATACTAAGATAGATTCGGCAAGATCGTTTCAAATGAATGTCAAAACATGCTCAACAAATAATCTAGCTATTTTCCCCAATAAATTATTATTTTTTAAATATTAATTTTATTGTCAAATAATCACATACTTTAAAAATATATTAAAACTTATATAAATAATAGGATTTTTTTTAAAAAAATAAATATATATTAAGAATCCCGTTCCGTTGAATACCTAAATTTCAAACAGGCCCTTTGAGGAAAATCCCAATAACATAATTTTAAATGCAAACTCAGGCTAAGAATGGTTGGAAGCCATCCCCAGTTCCAATCTTGGCCTCTTCACGACTGGCGAACAGGTATATTCATAGCCCTTCGCTTTAGCTGTAAAGTACTCTCCATTTGCATCAATTGTGGCCAGCCCATCGAATCGAATGCCTAACATCCCTTGAACTGCAAGTTCTTTCGCGGACAACAACCCCGCCATAAATACATCAACAATATTCTCCGTGGCCTTCAAAAAAGTTAATATCCCATCCACCCTCAACCAGTGGGCCTTTTAAATGAAAACGCTAAACGTCCTGATGGTATATCCCTCATTCCCTAGACTAACGGTCCCCCGCTGGCCTGGGACTATACTTGTGCCAATTTTGTAGCAGAATCCAACCTCTCATTTTCTGCCATCGAAAAGGCAGAAGTCCTTAAAAAAACAAATATGCTGGTTTCACCAACACAGCGTTCATACTAATATTTATCAATACCTTAGCCATGTCCGAAATTGAGGCCCTCAATTTCATTAAACCATAGAGGAAAAATGAGGTAGATCACAGGGGACCCCAAAGAAAGATTTTACCTTCGTCTTTTAAAGCATTCACTCTTCTCTAGGGTGTTATTAAATATATTTTTAAGTTCTTTATAATGTTTTTCTATATAAAATATACATATTTTTTTTATGTTTTTTTTAAAATATATTTTTAATTTGATTTTAAATTAAAACTGCTTTTGTAAAAATAAAAATTTTAGTACCGAAAAAAAATTATATGAACTAAAATTAAAAAAGCAGGGGATGGGGGATTAAAAAGATATATTGTAAATATTGTCTGGCATAGAGCAGAGAATAGAGATAAAATTGGATCTGCATATCTCAATGGATATTCTTTGTCTTAAGCATGAATTTTCTTTAGGATCTCCAGATTTATTTATAGCGCTTTTTTTAAATTTGAAAAATCCGATTTTGCCGGAAATATATTCCCACGTGTATAAATCATACCCCATAAATTTCAGACAAAATTATAAGATATTATATGTACTGTCTGACTTACCATGCATATTGTTGGTAACATGCATACCTCGCGATGTAAGATATAATAATCGTGCATACAAAATTATTTTTTATTTATTTATCTTTAAATTATATCAAATGATGATATTAGTAAAATACATTATATTGGGAACGCAAATTGTTTAATAAATAATTCTTACTTCTCTTAAAAATCGGCTATCAGTAGCTCCACCGGTTATGCAGGGCTTAAGAGCCAAGTCCCTGTATAAATATCAATAAGAAAAGTATAAAATAAAAAAAAATATACAGTTTAATATTTTAAAAATATATAATGAAGAGTTAAATATTACATTTTCTTGGCAACGCGAGAAATAGCATCCCACCAAACGAATCCGGGTTCAATAGAGGACATAATAGGTTTACAGGATCGCTTTTATAAAAAATTAAGATAAAATTGTACTACTAAACTATTATTTTAGATCTATAAAGTACCATTTTAAATCAAACGTATCAATTGTACATTGAAAATGACATCGGAAACTAGGGATGTAAAAAAAATTGAAAAAAAGTATTATTTTTTCGAATATAAAATAGGCGGAAAAAATAAAATGAAATTATGAAATGCTCATGTACTAAATTTATAGAATGATTGCGATAGTGAAAAAAAACTTCTATAAAATATTGGTAGGCTATATTTCAAATTGAAATTCCCCGCTCTTCAATACAATCGACCTTATTGTCAAAATCGCCAAATGTGAAATATGTGCATTTCTCTTTACCTCAGGGCATTCTTTTCAAATCTGTCAGTAGTCAATAACAATAACCTTGACTCAATTACCTCAATAGGCAGCCAAGAAGCAACAAATGATTTACTTCGTCTCCAAAAATCTTTTCTAACCTCAAACCAATGCTTTTATCCACACATCATTTTTCTTTTTCATTTAAATAAAAAAACCTTCTGTAATGCCAAAGAAGCATTCCGTTCCTTTTCCGATTTACTCTAATTAAGACTTATTCGTAAACCATGAACATCAAATTAAGGAATAATCTCGAATTTAATCTTCAATATGAATGTGACTAACTCCAAAATGTCCAGAGAATCCTAATATATTAACACTTTTCGAGGGCTATAGCCATTATGTTGTTCATTGTATTGTATGTGGCTGACATAGCGGACTGAAAAATAGGTAACGTAGTAGATGGATGATGTCTGTTGTTATCTACGTTGTTATCTACCTGGGTATTATGCAGAGAATGGATAAAATAAGAAACAATATTGCTACCTTAAATAATGAAATAGAAATCCTCAATTGTTCTGAAAAAATGGAGGAGGCCGGAAATTCTAATTAGTGATTGCCTCGATCCAATGGCTTCAATATCCCCTAAGACTGTGAAGCAAAATATACCCCCCCCCCTTAAAAAAGAAGTACCAATATTTATAAAATATTTTCATCCATCTAAATGAAATTATAAATTGTAAGAAAAGAAATTAAATGGTAGTTTTTAACAATTAACTAAATTAATCATTTCGATGAATTAATGGAAGAAAGAAATTGCAAACGTATTTATAACATTATCAATACCTAATTCTGTAAATAATACTTTTTCCACTGACATACATTATTTAGAAAAAGATTTTTCATGGTGCCTCGAAGTCGATATTTAATCGGCTTGATTCTGCGCGTTATTCATTAATATTAATGGCATCACGATATATACGTACTATTTCTTTAGAGAAAGTTTTTGACTTAATTTTCTTCATATTATCACGACGAGAATAAGATGATATATTTTTAGATAAATTATTAAAAATTTTATTCAACCATTGAATCATGCTCTTATTGTATTACAATTAGTTATCTGCATAGGGCCTAATTTCAAGCCCGGCCCGACCCGAACCCGAATTTTTTTTAAAAATTTACCCTTCAGCCAGGCCCGAATTTATTTAAATATAGAAATTAATTTTTATAATTACTCAAAATAAAAGACATATGTTATATGTCGTTTAATTTCAATAAATAAAATCAAATATTTTTATTTTACATATAAATTCAATATAAAATTGATAAATTTAGATATATTTAAAAAAATTCCAAAGTCCGACCCGACCCGGCCCGAATTTTTTAAAAAATATTAGGCCCGGCCCGAACCCGGTTAGTTTAAATAGAATTAGGCCTGAGCCCTGCACAGAGCCCGTTCGGGCCGGGCCTAACTTTGCAGATCTCTAGTTACAATACCATTTAAGATTCGTAAAAACACAATATCATTTGATAAAAAAATTCCAAATCTGTAATAATTTTTAAATCTCGTTAAAATTGAAACTTTCATCCTTTTTCTTTCTATCGTCCCTTATATTTTGGAATCGTAATCATTTATCAAACAATTATATTCTTTTTATTAATATTTGTGGGCATTGTTTTAAACAGAAAGGAAATGAGGATTAAAATGAAATGGATTTAAATTGTTAAATAAATGCATGTATCCTCATCCAATCTTAAATTTGTCATGTTTTATATAATAATTTTATATTAACCAATGAAGAAAGGGGATTTTATTATTGGTTAAAGGGGTAAAACAATAAATGAAATTAAAATGTGAAATAATATTTTTTTTTGCAAAACTTTAAAATTTAATCATTTTGATTAAAATGTAAAGATAAATTTCAATAAAAATACCACCATCATGAAGGGGTGGGGAATAAAATAATCCCCGTTTATTAAGATATTAAAAATTACAAAATTGATAAAATAGGAGAAAAAATTCCCTATAAATATATCCACGAAATAAAAATCCTCTAATAAAATGTTTAAAAATTTTAAGAAAATCAATTCAGGGGAATTATTTTCTAAGAATTATTATGGGAAATTTTTTTCCAGGGAATTATTTTTGGCTTACCAATATTTACCTACTTGAAGCAATTGCATAAAAAATTTGCAAGTCCATGCAAATTTTATGAAGCAGTTGCTTCGTACCCATTTTTTCTATCATTGCTTAGATTTGTTCATAATGATTATCGATAAAATTTTATGAAGAGTAAGGCCAGGCGAGTTAAAATACGAAAAGACCGTCGCGGCTCTAAATTCTTCTTACGTTCCGGTCCTCCCATTTTAAATACCCATATCAAATTTTTTTTCCCAATGATAATTAAGGCTATATCTCTCCTCTATGGTTATCTATTTTTATAACAACCGTTTTATAAATCAATTTTGTTTGATATAGGTATTATGTTTTATGTAATTGTAATCGGATCATATCATGAACAGCTTGTTTATTTTTTTGTGAGTTTACTAAATTATTTATTGATTGATATTTTAGTCAGATAGTAAAATAGAAAGAAATATTCATATTGTAATATATTTTCAAGTAGTATTAATAAAAATATTTACTTGAAATTAAAAAAAATATATCAAAATTTTAATGCCTGATTTAATATATTATATTAACAAATAAACAGAAATTTATTAGTTATCTTATAAATTTAAAAAATATAAAATTAGCATATCAAACAGGTTCACAGGTCCTTATAGAGGATTAGTTCAGGGGCGAGGCAACAAAATTGCTAAGATTTAAGATAAATAATAACAATTATACTGATTCGGGTTGATTCCCTTGACTCTAATCTAATATTAATGTGTTAATCATTTACTAAACGAGTATAGATTGTAAAACCTGGTGAAATTTGTAAGTTATTCCATCGCCCGCCGCATCTACCCAAGATTTCCACAAATTTTCGAAATCGCTCAAATCAACTCTCGGGGTCACACGCATATCGAAAGCTTTTTTTTAAAAAAAGGTGCTCAAGATAAATAAGTAGATATGATTTATTTTAATGTGGCGTTCGAACTCGAGTCAAGCCTTTTAGGTCTACCCCGGTCCAAGGGAAGAATAGATATAGCTTAACATCGGGAGGTCTACAGGTGTATTAGGGGTCTAATATGCAAAATGCAAGCTTAATGTTAACTAGCTAGCTAATTTTTTTTTTAGAAATCTTAATTTTTTTCATTCGTATTTTTATTAATTACATTAATTTATGTCTTAATATTTCTATATCAATTTTTGAGTAATGTTTTTAACAACATTAAGATTGACAAAACGTTGATTTAAAAAAAAACTTATACACAATTAATTCATGTAGTTAAATTTACTGCAATATATTTCGGAAGGTACCACGTTAAACGCAACTCCAGCCTTATTAGTATAAACAGAAAATGAATGATCATTTATTTTTAAATAAATTAAAAAATCTATTTTATAAAATTTAAAAAAAATCTATTTTATAAAATTTAAAAAAAATCTATTTTATAAAATTAAAAATATCTATTTTATAAAAAAAGAATATTTTTTTACGACTATTTATTGAACCTCCCCCCACCCTCAACTCCCCCAACCTCCTTATAATAAAAATTGCGAGTGATTCACTCACAAATCAGGGAAGATTAACTATGAATTTGATATTTTATTTTTCCCAGGATTTTCAAATACATTTTCCCCAAGCGTATATTGTTATTATTATCGTTCAAATAGTCCTATTACAAATTATAAAATTGGGGGAAATGAATTTTTAAGGTCCGGAACTATTCGAGAACGTTTCGGTTTATCGGATTTTCTTCGTTAGCTCCAAATGGTAAACTGGAAAGAAAAAGTAATATTTTAAATTTTGGGAGAAAGAAGTTTTGGGCCCCTTATTTAAACCCTTTCCAAGAAACATTTCGAATATTCAAGATTCGTTTCTGATTGAAGTAAATGTTCCCTGCCTTTTAATACTTTTAATTGAGTCAGATTGATAGTGGTTACGTCTCCTAAAGTCAACTCGGAATCCGTTATCAATCTATATGTATTTTATTTATATCAATGTTTATTATGCATTTATTACATTTCATCACATAAAATTATGTTATATTAACAAATGTACAACTTATATTAAAAAAAGGAGTCTTTAAAATAATCTTTTAAAAAGTTTAACATAATAATGCCATCTACATTTGAAAAGTTTATATAATTGAATAATGATCATAATTTTATTTTTAAAAAGATCGAAAAAATGTAACCTTTTACGTTCTTGCTCGCGATACTCCATACAAGAAATGAGTAATTTTTGCTGAAAAAAAATAAATTATTGATTATTTGGATGAAATATAATATTTTGAAATAATAATTTTTTATTAATTAAATTCTTTTTCATGTTATTATTTATTTTTAAATGATAGATTCATATTAAATGATAGATTCATATTAAATTTAAAGGTATTTGATCATTATGATTTGTTATTAATGATGAGGTGTGAGACATTTAAATTAAAAGAAATTTTGTCATTATGATTGGTTTTTAATCAAGCATCAGTTGATTACACAACTGCATTTAAACCCTTCCCCCCCCCCTCCCGCCAACGATTGTTACCAATATTCCCCTGTCACTATCTTATTATTTTGGCAATTGAATTTTTGTTTGAAAAAAGATATCACCTTGATTATGTATTTTTAATTTGTATTTACCTGTAATCGATATTATGGTAACGGAATGATCCGTCCTTTATAAACAAATATTATAGAAAATGTTCCAATAAGCCCCTGATTTGCAGGGAAATAATAAAATGATTTATGTATTGGATTATGGTAGCCGGAAAGCTCTAGCTCAAAATGAATGATTAAAGTATGGAACTATGGTAGACGATGAATTCTGAAGAGAAATCAACAATTCAAAGTGATTTCCGTATGGGATTATGGTATAGGCTCTAACGCAAAATGAATGATAGGAGATGACTGATTCAAAATAATCTTTGAAAATAATTTTTTTTTGAAATTCTATGTAATAATATTTAATTGGAATGTTATCACGCGATTTGTAAAGGCTAAAAGCAAATTTTGGGAATTATATGAAATAATATTATTTTTTTGGGAAGGTATCAGGCGGTCTGTGAAGGATGAGCGTATCGTAGATTTATATTATACTTAATTTCATTTAGGCCAAAAACGAATTATTTGTTATTCGAAATTCGATTCATATTTTACGAATACGAATAGCACAATTATTCGATTCGAAATTTCGAATCGAATATGAATAATGAGGAAAATTATTCGTATTATTCGAAATTATTTATATATAAATATTTGTAATTTTTCGCAAATATTTTATTTGTAAGTATAATAAAAAAGAAGTAATTAAATTTTCCGTGGATATCATTTTGTTTTATTTTATTTCCTATTATCAAATCATAAGTTGTATTATTTGCTGACAAAGTTTAATGGAGGAAAAGGAAAAGCCCCAAAGTAAACTAAAATATAACTATTTAATTTTGATGGTTTCTCTTTAATCATTTTTGGTGTTAAGAACAAGTCAAAACATTTTTATGGAGTGTGCCTCTTTCCCATATTCTTAAGCTCCTGGCAGATAAATAACTAAATTTTCTTGACTAGTTCTTCTTCCTTGATTAGGAAAATCCTTTTCCCATTTAGTAACCTTATTTTTTAGAAAATTTTAAAGACAATCATCTAATTCAGATAGTGTATCATAATCACTATCATAAAATATTCATTACTATTAATTACATTTTTATAATCACTTCTAATAAAATGATATTACATCTTAAATAATTTTATATTCAATTTTAAAACATGGTGTATAATTTATATACTACAAAATTAACAATAAAATTTTGAAGTTTTAATTACAGTGGCTTAGCCAGGATTTTCTCACTCAAATCTCCCATTTTTTATGAGCACTCAATTGCTTATATCTTAGACTATGTTAAATTTATTTTAAATTTGCATATAAGATATAACAAAATTTTAGAGAGTATTTCATTATAGATTTTATTTATTATATTAAAATACTTTAGCAGCATAAACTTTTATTTAATCATGTATTTATTTTTATTATTTAAAATAAATTTTAAAATGTAAATATTTTATATTTTATATAGATTATAATTTTTTTAATTTTATTGTATAAAAAATTACATAAAATATAAATAATTCTTATGCAAATACAGGTATTTAAAAAAAATATTAAAATATTTTCAAAATATAAATAATATTGTATTTGTACTTTGATTAAAAATAGTATTTGCATAAATTTTAAGAATATATTTAAAACTAATATAATCATATTGCAATTTTTTGATTTGAATTTATAAAGACAGGTCTAATTTTTAATTCATATAAAAATAATAAATAATTTTATTTTAAAAAAACAGCCTCCCCCATGCCTATGCTACTTAATTAATTTACTGTTTCTTAAGTTTTAAATTTTAAATATTTTTTATTTCAGCTGCTAATGTATTATTGATCTGGAATTTCTGGAAGGATGCTTGGATTTTATATGATATATATAATTTTAAATATATTCAAAGATCAATTAGAAAATCTTGATGGAAGAAGTTATGCTGAAGGACATAGTCAATCCTCAAATAGTTCTAGATCTACATCAATATCTGATCAAACTGATGTTAATGTTAGGCGGAAAAATTATTAATATGGAATCATTATCTGCATGATTCTAAAACAGAAACAGCTAGATGTAAAATATGTAATGTAGAAATAATGTGCAAGAAAGAACTACCTCGGCACTAATTAATCATAATAAAAGGTTTCATCAAAAAATTCAAAATAATAATACGATAAAAAACTATTTAAATGATGAATCAAAAACAAATGCTGATGATATTAATTAAAATTTTTACTCAAGTCAAATATACCATTTAAAATTCTCGCCACACAGGAATTCAAGTCATTGGTCAGAGCTTTGAATCCTGTCATAAAAATATGTTCAATACCCTCAATTAAACAATATATGAATGAGATTTATAATAAAGAATTCAATAAAATTAAAATAATTTAAAGTGCCAAATTAACTTTACCACTGACATATGGTCAAGCCCCACTAATGTACCATTTTTAAGGTTGACCTGCCACTTTATTGATGAAAAATGGGAGATAAAGTCATGGTTATTCGATATAGTGCCATTTACTGATTCACATTCTGGTGAAAATATATATAGTTTTCTCAAATTATAAAATCGACATATAAGTGTAACATAGAAATTACATGTGTTAATGCTAGCTCTAATTCGACTTTCATAAAAATTCTTCATATAAAACACCCAACTTGTAAAATTTTACATGTACAATGTTTTGCACACGTACTCAATTTAGTAGTACAAGAAATACTTAAGAAAGTAGACAGGCAATTATCAAAATTAAGAAAAATTATAAAGATTATTCGCAATTCTTTTACAAAGACAAATATTATGCAAAATGTATGCTCCTCCCTACTTCCCCATATGAAATATTTAAATTAAAATTAGACACATCCATCAGATGGAATAGCTCTTATTTAATGGTTGAAACAGCTATTAAAATGAAAAGGGCTATTGATAAAGTTGTGACTCAGATATATGATGATATATCTGATATCGAAGAAAGAAAACTGAGCGGAGTAATTTAATTTACTAATTATCATTTTTCATCAGGATGATTGGACTACTTTAATAAACATACAAAACAAATTAAAGACTTTTTTTGATTTTACCGAAGATATATGTGGTGACACATATCCTACTTTAAATCTTATCATCCCTTTTTATGTTTCTTTAATGGAACATTTAAATTCATTTGATCCCGATTTTATAAACCCTATCAGTGCTATTGACAAAATAGAAAATTATTATAACCTAACAAATATTGAAACCATAATATCAACCATATTAGATTCTAGATTAAAAGTGCAATTTTTTGAACAATTACCTGCGCCATATAATATAGATACAACAAATCAATTAAAAAAATTTAAGGGTATATATAATGGATACAAAGTAAAATGTAATATCGATACAACAACAGTTAACCCAATAGTACTATCAAATATGGATAGAATTTTTAAACAAAATATCACCTCATCAATATGTGAGGTTGAAACATATCTTGAATCAGTTTCAATAAGAGTCCGTTAGAATGGTGGAGATTGCATGGGGATCGTTTTCCCGTGTTGTCGAAAATGGCAATTGATATATTGTCAATTCAAGGATCTTAGGCTTCATGTGAGTGGTTGTTCTCAATGGGAACAAATATGGTAATGAAAAATAGAATGTTTTTGAAGGAGGATACTATTAGAAAGACTTTATGTTTAAAAAATTTTTTATTATCAAATTCGGATATACTATAATTATATTTTTTGTGTATTATATTTAGATGTTTATAAAATGAGATTATTGTACATTTTTAGAAAATTTTAATATTAGATTGAAAAAATAATTTAAATATTTTTTATAAGCAATTCTAATTCTAAAAATCGAACGTTTCTGGCCAATTTGTTTGGATAACGTTATATGAAATCATTTGGTTTTATTTCGTTTATTTTCTGTAAATTGTTATATGCTAATGACAATTAGTTTAGAGAATCCTTAAAAGTCTCATCTTAAAACATTATATCTGTTTATAATTTTTTTGCAAAAAATTATATATTTTTTATAAGCTTTATAAAAATTTTCGAATCGAATCGAATATTCGACGAATCGAAATGAATAATGATTTTATTATTCGTACGAATACGAATAGCGCAATTATTCTATTCGAATAATAGTATTATTTGATTCGATTTGTTTTTTTTGTAGGCCTAATTTTATCTAATACCATACGACAATCAAATATTTTATGCGTGTCGAATATCAATATTATGTCAATCCTTATTAATTCTGATCAATAGATATGTGATTTACAATTCTTTTGCTGGCAATAAAAGCGCGGATTAATTCTTAATAAAATAAAGTGATGGAGTTTAAAATTGAGAATATATACACACAGGGGCGTAACTAGCTTTACAATGTCGGAAGGGGGGGGGGCTAAAATAAATTTTTTAAATTTATTTTCAAAATTATCTTTAGCTAATATTTTTCTTATCTAAAATTACCTTCTTTTTTATTTATAGCTAACTTGCTATTTTAGTGTTAAATTCAAATTTTTCAGGGGGTTCCACCTCTCTACTGAAGTATATAGATACAAATTAGGAACTATTAAAATATGCATTATTAGTTTTTTTTTACGAATTTCGAAACGGCCGAATTTTCGATGAATCTGGATGCGTGTCCCGAGCTACCCGTTATCGTAACTAGCACAGCTTTATAAATGATCACGTGTTTTTTTTATATATAAAAGACAACAGGAATAAGTGGACTAACTGATTTAAAAAAAATAAAATAAAATTTTCGTTCGAGATGCCCGATACAGTTACCTTAAATATTCATTTTGATACCAAGACAATTTACTATTGTAAAGAAATATCTAGAAGAAAAATAATCCCAAAATCACGTGAAATTATTTTTTTCTGTCGTTATTTTAAAAACTTTTTCGGTTCGAATATGTTAGTTGGAGGAGAAATTTGTACAAAGAATTTATAAAATTATATTTAAAAAAAGATTAGTTTTCTAATAATTTTGTGTTTGCTTTCTCATATATAAAAATATAATTTTTTTAAATAGTAAATTGTCACAATTTTGGCTCTATATAACTTAAAAGATGAAAAGTATTGGAAGATCAGTTTTTTCAGCTCTTTTCATTTCTTCGTCTCGTTCTCATCTATTATATATTTATTTTGGTCGTTTCTTTACCCTATTTCCCTAACTTTGGGGCAAATTTTATTTTTTTATTTACTTCTCACAGCCCTTTCGGCGTAATGCACGTAGAATTCTTGTGTCGGGGAGGCTCGTCCTTCCCCCAAAACGACGCACACCTTCAAATCCTTGAAATATTGAGATTGTGCCAAAGCATCCATTCCCTTTTGGCCTCCAATCTCTTCGTCTATTTAAAAAAAAACTATTAATAAAAAATAATATAGATAAATTCAGATATGTTAGCTAGGTTTTGGACATATGATGCCACCCAATGCTAATGGACAGAAATTTCATAGCCTGCGCTATTAGTACCCTTTCTAGATTGGCGTGTATTTTATTATTCGCTCTTTTTCTTGTGCTTACATGAGAGTGCTTATAATTGTAGCAACCTTTTAGATATTTGTTAAACTCATTACATAAAACACCACTTCGTACATTTTAAAGCTTTGCGTTGGGCCTATCTTTTCAGGGGAAACCTGATTTGAGAAATAAAAATCTTCAAATTTTTGTCCGATCCGATCCTAGATTTGTATATTCTTTTCAAACGAGTTTGATTGGATCCGAAAATTTTATTTAAAAATAGGTTCGAGTCCTATTCGATATTTTCTAAATAAGGCTGTTAGTTAAAAAAGACTCGATATTTCAATAAATCGTAAAAAATAAAGGGCTTTTAAGGATAAAAACAAATGAATATTGTAAAAACAAAATAATTTAAAAAATTTTTTCGAGGACCCGACTCTAAATAAATTTTAAAATTAAGATTCGAATTCAACCGCGCCCGAAAAGGTCTGCCCATTTGGTCCGGGCGGAGTTATAGTTTATAATGTTAGACAATTCACGTATGGAAATCAGTCAATACGCATATTTTCTTAGTCATTATCAATATGTTGTCGCTCGGTTATTGGAGTGCTTCAATTAACATTTTTAAAGGAAAAAAAAAATTGAATTGGCCTTATAAATGCAAACGTTTATTTATGTGCAAACCAAAATTTGGATAAAAATATTAAATATTGAAATTATGTCGATTTTTACTTTGCTTATTATTTTAATTAATTATTCAATTAATAATATATCCCAAATGTGGATAAATAATTTAATAATAATCTATGTATCATAATTTTCTCTTTTATGCAAAAATTCTTCTGAATTTTCGAATTAAATTACTAATAAAGGCTATTAATTTGGTTATTAATTGATTACTTGTTTCAATTGTATTTTGAGAGTGTCAAAAAATGTAATTCAATCAACAAACTTTTATGCGTGTAATAAGTTTAGAATAATAATTTGAAACTTAAAAAAGTCTATTATCTCAGACTAAAACTACACCTAGAGCACTCTCTGGACGCGTAGCCATCGGGGAGGGGTCCAAATACAGTTAATTAAAATCTTTCACAATCAAGTATTCAGCTATTTTATGAAGTTAGAGGCGCCTATTATAAGTGCTTTTAGTTAAATAGCAGAATAGCCTAAAAATATTCTCTTCGGAAAAAGACGCTTTAGAAGACTCGATGAGAACCTAATTTTCCTTTACATTAAAATACATCAAAAAATTATTTTATTCTACTATTATTTTATGCAATCTCTTTCAAAAAATTATAATAATTTAGTTGACATCATAAAAATGGCATAAAGAATTGTATCAAAGCGTAAAGAAATTAGGTCAAATGTTGATGATGAATTTCATAAATTATATGATTGTTAAGGTCATAGTCAAGGTAAATCTTTATGAATTTGATATGCGCATACCTTGACTTGCACCTAAGCCCATCGTTCAAATATTATAAGAGATAGAAGAATCATCTCTATTTTTTGGTGATGATAAAAATCTCGATATAACCAATTGTAAAAAACCGCGAAAACCAAGATTTCAGTCAAAATATATCCTAATCCTCGAGATTTGACCAAAAGAGATCCAAGCCCTTCTGCAAACTTTTCCTAAATCTTGAGGCTTGTAGATGATGTTTTATTGGTGAAGATATTATTTTATCTTAAAAAAATGACTAATGAAAAGTTCTTGGTTTATCAATAAATACTTACAAATCAGAGTATCTGCTAATATAAATTATTAAATATTTTGATAACTTACATTAGCACTTGTACTGAAAAAAACAATTTCTTCTTTAAGAATAGTCAAACTTGACGCCAAATACTAATTTTGATAATTTATTTAATTTAAAAAAATGTTTAAATCAAGATTTTAGCCAATCAAATATTTTGCCTAAGCCTCGACATTTCGCCAATAGAGGGTCAAGCCTTTTTGGCATGTTTTGGTAAAATCTCGATGGCAAGGTAATGAATGTTTGGCTATAAAAATGATTTAAAAGTTTTTCACCTAAATTGATGTTTTTAATAATACTGAAGAAATCATTTTAAAAAATCATAAAAAGAGATAGCATATATTGGTAGTTTATATGCATTATTTTTTAAGAATATTTATGTGTATCTAGAGCATTTGAATTTTCTTAAATATAATTATTTATATATTAGAAATTCGGCACATTTTTTTGTAATAAGTAATTCTTATAAAATATATTTATATTTATATTTTAAATGCTCAAAATATTCGTTATTTTGGTATAAATTTTTTTCAGCACATATTTTATAGATTCATAATAGTAATAGATCCATTTGTAAACGTTTAAGCCGATTCCAAAAAAAGCGTAATCAAATTTTTAGCCGAAAAATATCCTCAGTGCATTTAATAATTATAACAGCATTTTTGCTAATAATATTATATTTAGAATTTATATTTGATAAATATTACTTAGGTCTCTCCCAAAATCTTACCTTCAGTCTCATCGTGACGGGGGAGTGGCAACGTCTTTTGGCGGTTAATGGATGTCTAAAAGGTTTCCTGTGATCTGGGTCTAGAATAGGATCACTGTCTCCACGACGGGGTGTAAAAACCACTTAAAGGGGTTGATGTCAGGAAGGGCATCCGATTGTAAAAACCTTGCTAAATTTCCCTATGGTTACAACAAAGCATGGGCGGGGTACAGCCCAAAGTACCCCGTGGGCATCCTCATCCGGCCACTACAAAAAGAAAAATGGGAAACCTGGTGGAACCACGATTCATGAAAATGAAACTTATGACGGCCATAAACGACCTGATAGAAAGTGGAGAAAGCAGTTTACGGGAGATCGAGTAAAGGTCGCGACATGGAATGTTGGGAGTATAACGGGAAGAGCGGGAGAAGTGGTCGATGTATTGCATAGAAGGCATATAGATGTGTGCTGCATACAGGAGACCAGATGGAAAGGAAATGGGACAATAATGATTGGCAAGACTAGTGAAAAGTATAAATTCTTTTGGCAAGGAAGTAATGATGGTAAGGCTGGAGTTGGGGTACTGATTGCGGAGAAATTGGTAGACAAAGTAGTCGAAGTGAGAAGACTAGATAACCATATAATGGTTAACAAGATGATTTTTGGTAGAAAGCTATATAATATATTCTCGGCATATGTTCTTCAGGTTGGGACAGTCTATTGGAGGTGACATCGAGACTGGTAAATGAAGAGGGGATTATCCTGGCTTGTGATCTAAATGGACATGTAGGAGCGAGTAGTGAAGGTTATGAAGGAGTGCATGGAGGATACAGTTACGGCATGAGGAATCTGGAAGGGGAGAGGATTTTAAATTTTAGTGATGCTATGGATATGATTGTCTGTAATACAATGTAACAGAGAAGCTTGTGACTTATAAGTCAGGTAGTACCAAAAGTGTGGTGGATTATTTGTTATTAAGGAGATGTGATAGATGTATAGTAAAAATGTGAAAGTGATACCGGGAGAGGAATGTATTAATCAGCATCGACTAGTTATAGGAGATCTTACTTTTAAAGGCGCCAGGATCACTAAAAGAAAGTTTTTGCCAAGATTAAAGGTCAGGAAATTGAAGAAGGAGAGTGCAAGACAATTCAATATGACATTGGCGATAAAGGAAGCGGAGGTGGCACAAGCATCTGGGGTAAATGACAAGTGGGAGGCCATGAAGAAATCATGGGTGATGACAACTGAGGAGGTATGTGGATGGACAAAAGGGCCGCCTAGACATAAAGAAAGTTGGTGTTGGAACCCGGAGGTAGCGAAAGCTGTGGATGAGAAACGCAGGTAAGAAATGCTAAGAAATTAATAGCGAAGGTGCAAGAAGAAAAAAGGCAGGAATTTGCTGAAGAAATAAAATGCGCTGAAGGAATGGGAAATGTGGTTCCAATGGCAAAGCAGATGGCAAAAAAGAGGCAAGATGTGGTAGGTGTTAAATGTTTGAAAAGTATGGAAGGAAAAATGGTAATTGATAGTATTGGTATTAAGAACACCTGGAAGATCTATATGGATGGACTTTTGAACGAAGAAAATAATGGGATAATAATGTTAGTTGTGCAAAGGTAAAAGGTCCAGGGTGTAAATTTGGCAAGGACGAAATAAAGAGAGCAATGAAAAAGATAGAAAAAGGGAAGACATCGGGTTTAACGAGGGTGGTATCAGAGATGTTAGGTTCTGATGACTTAGGGATTGAATGGTTAATGAATTTGGTAAATTGTACAGAAGGAACTATTCGTGAGGACTGACAAGGAAGTATAATTATCCCAGTATACAAGGGAAAAGGTGATCCTTTAGATTGCGGGTCTTACAGAGCTATTAAACTCTTGGAACATGCAATGAAGGTATTGAGAGGGTGTTAAAGAAGCGGATAAGGGAACAAACTAAGATTGATGAAATGCAGTTTGGTTTTACATCGGGAAAAGGCACGACAGATGCAATTTTTGTGGTGAGGCAAATACAGGATAAGTATCTTGCGAAAGAAAAGAAATCTATTATGCTTTTGTTGATTTAGAGAAAGCATTTGACAGGGTGACGCGTGAGGTTACTAAATAGGCCTTGATAAAATCAGGTGTGGAGGAATGGTTGGTTATCGCAGTGATGGCAATGTAGTAGGAGCACAAACAGCAGTACGGACGGATTATGGTGATAGTGAAAGCTTTGAGGTGAAGGTAGGACTTTATCAAGCGTGCTGAGTTCATTATTATTTATCTTAGTAATGGATGTGGTGGCTAGAGAAATACGTGAAGGACTTCCTTGGGAGCTATTATATTTAGATGACCTTGTATTAATGGCAAACAGTGAGGAAGAATTGAGGGATAAAAATTAGTATATGGAAGATGACTATGGAAGCAAAGGGTCTGAAAA